ATCACTGATATTGAGCACTTTACCCCTTAAATATAGCACACCTTAAGAGTATTTTTCTTCAAATATATATATATATATATATATATATCTTTATATATATATAGAGAGAGAAAAACTGTCTAGAAAAATGGAAGTCAAATAGCAACAATTGAAAGGAAAAAGAAAAGATTAAAGAGTGAGTGTAAAGTGGAAAAAAAGGACAAGTAATCACATTCTCCACATATGCACGTACCTGAAGACAGGTGCACATGCATGAATGCACACATAAATTAAGAAAAACAAAAAGCATGCAACAATGATAAGTGCATATAAAACAGAAAATTTGAGAAGTAGAGGCAGTCAGTTGTTGATACACCCAGATGAGTGGACAGACGGGTTCACCTACAAGTCAGAGTTAGGATGCTGAAGGTAACATTAATCAGTTAAGTGACAAACGTTTTACATTTTACTTGTGTATGTATGTGTGTATATATATATATATATATATATATATATATATATATATATATATATATATATATATATATACACACACACACACACACACACACAGTGTGTAACAGCAAAATTGTCCAATTGTTAGATTAAGCTTTGAACTGTTTTATCTTTGATTGATTAAAGATATCTTACTAGAATTCTCTATTGGACTCTACTTTGAACAATAAGAGTGTATTTACCTCTAAGTTGAAATGCTAATCCCTCTTGCCGTTGAGACCTCCTGATCCACTTTTCCTCACTACTGCTCCCTCTTTTTTGAACTTATTCACCAGTCTTTTGATGGTTTTCAAATGGACTTTGAAGATGGAAGCCAGAGTATGAATGTTGGTAACATTACTGAAGGCCATAATGATCTTTTTCCTCTCACCATTGCTCATTTGGGAAGATATAGTGGGGCTGACACAAAATGCTTTTAACCTGTTCTCTTTCTAACTGAATAACTCAGGGTTTTTCAGTGATTCTTACAAAAAATGGTGTCAAGGTGGCTAAATGTCTTATCTGAAAACCTGGAAAAAGTAACTAAATTAGTTTAGTAGCTTTTTAGATATTAAACATTTTGTGGGATGGACAATTATTACATGCTGTTAAATGATTTGGACAATTTTACTGTTACACCTATACATACACACACACACACACATATTTATGCACACACACACACAAGGTCTTATCGAGACTGTTAATATGGCAATGGAGTTAACGTATGCAGAGTGAAGCTGCTTGGCACAGACTGATCTTGAACTCTGCCACACATATGCACTACATTATAATGTTCTCAATCAATTGCATTATTGATAGCAGTGCTTGAAAGGAGAGTATATAGTGTGTGGTCATCTCACTGCACCATGGTTTTTCCATCAGTGACCATAGTTTGTGCAGCATTTTTTGGCCAAGGACAACATTCCCTTGGTCCAACAACCACAATATTCCCTAGATCTTGAACACTTTTTTCTCTTCACAATCACATCCCACTTGAAAGAAACAATTTTTAGACATCAAGCAACTCCAAGAAAATGAGACAAGGCAGATGCTCACTACTCCAAAAAAGGTGTTCCAGGAATGCTTCCATTAATGGAAATAACACTGTGTGTGGCTTTAGAAGGGGGACTACTTTGAAGGAGATTAAATGCCAAATTGATGTGTTGTAGTTTTCTTTTTATAACACTAGTCCCAATAATTTATTATCATACTTCAAATATATTTTCAGACACTTTGATTCCAATGAGAAGTGTTGCATGCAACTCCAGAGTTTCATGCAAGCATTTATTAATTTATTGACTATTTATTTATTTATACATTTCCTTTTCCTTACTTCTGGACAGTGTGTGGTTACTTTGAAACTCTCACAACTAGATTTTACTTGTGATACAGTTGGTTTTCATAAGTCTGCTGTTTGCTCTAGGCCCAGATAAAATCATCTACAGTCCACCTGACCAATCCAACAGGAACCCATTGGGCCACTGTCATGTATTATTGAATTATAATTACATGACCTTATTTGACCTGACAAACGGAATTTCTCTGGTACAGTTCTGGGATCAAGGTTGCTGAAAAAAAAAAAAACAATGGTGGGTGTATCTACAATAGATTTTCAGATAACACAAGCCAGTTATTCTCCTGAATGGCTTATTAACCATCATGCTTCACTAGCAGAAACCTTTTTGGGCTTTGATAATATCCAACCATTTTTTAACCAATATGTATAACCAAAAACAATACTTTGATAAAAAATCTTTATTCCCCATGAATTATATCTATTTTTTTCTTTTTGATCATTTACAAGCAAATGGCACCTGAGATAGGGTACGATTTTTCAGAAATGGAAACACAAATTATACCTTCACATATAACTTTGAGAAGTCATTAACATTAGAATATTTATTCAGATCATTGAACTTCATCTTTGCATTTTTGATGTTGTTTCTGCAGATAGATTCTTCAGGCATCACCATGTGTATAATAAAAAGAACAAAGAATTTCTTTCTTCAAAAAAAAAAAAAAAAAGCAACATAAAATTATTGAACAGTATGCTAACAAGATCAGTATTTGTGGGAATTATCATTATTAATAATAATAATGATGATAATAAATTAATAATAACTTAAAAATTAATAATAATAGAAAAAGGAAGCAGGGCATCAAAATTAATGCAATCACGGACAGGATAGACAAATCACAAGATAAAGCAAATGCAGGTTATGTTGATAAGCTGATCAGACAGTTAACCACATACTCACCGAATATTTCAAGTTAGCACAGAATGAATATAAGCAATGACATGATTGGATTGGTAAAATAATCCATCGGTAAATATACCAAAAGTTTGGCTTCAGTGTAAAAGAGAACTGTTATGAACATCAGCCAGAGGCAGTGGTAAAAAATGACAGTTACAAGATATTATGGGAGTTTCTCAGTCCACACAGATCATATCATTGAAGCACAAAGACCTGGCCTTATTGTTAGAAGAATAGCAAGTGTCAAATTATTGACTTTGCTGTTCCTTATGAGACAAGAGTGGGCCCCAAAGAAACTGAAAAGACTGAAAAATACCAGGATCTTGCTAGGGAGCTGAAAAATGAATGTAGAACTAATTCCTGTAGTAATGGCTGCTAGAAAACTGAAAAGGCATTTATGGTGAATTGGAATTGAGATCAAGATTGCAGACCTTCAGAAAATTGCCCTCATTTATTTTGCAAGAATCCTCTGAAAAGTTCTTGAATTGTGAGGAATCTTCTTTTAAATTTAAGGACATTTTTTTTTGAGGAACATAATTTTTTTCATTTTTATTATTATAAGAATAAAATGTAATTTCTTTTAATAAAAATAATAAAATGATATAAAAAAAATTGTGTTCCTCAAAAAAAGGAAAGTCTTCGAGTATTTTTAGTAGTTGTCGAATAAACTGTTGCTTCCACCTCAAATAGGATTGTTCTCTTGCACTAAGCCCAGCCATTTCAGCAACACAAAACAGAGAAAACCATACTGCCACTCATGTACCCAGGCCAGGGATATAAATCAAGTTAGTATATAGTATATAAAACAATGCTAATATCGCACTATTCAATTTTCTTTGACTGGTGAAAAAAAATGGTTAGCAAACTCTTGTGAATAGATTGGAATTGCATGGTTGGTAGTTTTTAGTATATATATATATATATATATATATATATATATATATATATATGTAAAATGGGTTAGTTAATAAAACAAGGACAAATGAAAGTGTACCAATATAATCACTACAATACATATTTATTAAATATTAATTATTACTCATATGACAGAAATGAAGCACAAAGAAAGGTTTCCTCAATGGTCTGAGGAATAAACAGAGAAATGGGAATGACTCACCAACAGATGTTTTTGTAGATGGTGTATTTTCTGGTGGTAATTGTATTGTTAGCAAAAACCCAATCTCTGTCTGATTCCTCAATGTGCAAAACTTTTTATGAAAATAAAAAATTTTAAATTTTGATTGGTGTAAAAGCGTTAGGCAGGTCTATTACTAGTGTGCGTCGTAGAATGGGTTGAGATTGTAAACATAGATGAAGAGAATTATAGGTTGGGGAGGGAAAAAGATGTCTTGCATGTTGCAGCAAAAATTGGTGGACCAAGTTGTCAAGTGTAGAAAGGCAGGCTGTGATTTGAATATAATGTGATAAAAAGTAAGAGAGAAAAAAAAAAAGGAAGGAAAACACACACACACACATATATATATATATATATATATATATATATATATATATACCTCCAGGAAATCCTGACTATCCACAGATTTATTATTTTTGTTATCTGTAAATTATGATTCATTCTTGGGAAAGATAGTGGAGTGTTTTCCTGTTACCTTCTCCATAGTTTGGAATTTACAGTTTTCCTTCTCTTAGGCATTGGTTACCACCCAAAGGTAAGAGCCCAGTCTATCCAGTTATTTAACCCATAGCTGGGGGAATAGTGAAAGATGGATATACCTTTCTCTAAAAAGCTATATCCAAAAGTGAATGCAACAGACTAATCCAGGATTTGAACTTGGCTTGCCAATTCCACTTTTTTTTTTAAATTCAGGGTAGTCTTTCTCTTGGTCCCCATCTAAGGCTAGAGAGCCCAATCTACCCAGTTATTAAACCCATAGCTGGGGGAATGGTGATTAATGGATCCATACCTTTCCAAAGAGCATTTATACAAAAGTGAATGCACAGACTAACTTAGAATTTGAACCTGGCTTGCCAATTTCATTTTCCGTGACCATATTCATTACTCAACCTGCACAATTTATCTAGTGTTGCTAAAATGCATTGATCCAACTAATATATTAGCAACCATTTTCCTGCCACTGTTTTCTGAAGAAAGACAGTTTTTCTTTTCATTCTTTTTTTATATAGATTATACATGTAACAATATTCGAAAAATGAATTGGCTGAAACATGGTAGTAATGTCAATAATGCAAAGAAAATGTTCAAAGGTCCAAACTAAATTTGTGAAAAATTTATACCTGCCTTGGAAATCAACAAATAATTTTTTTTGCTGAAGTGATCTTTAAACGCTCAAAAACTTTACCACATCGAGCATTAATTTGAAAGTCCAGTAAATTGTCGCCACGAATCTTACCAATATTCACAGCACCGATTGGTTTCTTTTGTTCATGAGCAGCCAATACAAACCTATAACCAGAATAGATCTGGAAAAAAGAAAAAAAAAAAAGGGTTAAAATTAGAAAGTCACAAATCTAAAGCAAGTGTAAGGATGCATGAATGTGATTATCTCCCTTTTTACAGGACAAATTTGCTAACGCCCTGAAGGTCATGTGTCAGTCCATGATTAATGATAGCCAGTTGCTGATTAGCCCCTCTTGGTGAGAGGAATGTTAACCAGTTTCTACTTAGTCCTCAAGGAATACAGTTATGATAGGCAATTCCTGTTTTGACCTTGAAGAAGACAGATGTGATAGCCAACAGTAGTTCAGCAAACAAGCAAATGTGATGCATGGTAAATAAAGAACATTAATGATATCACCCAGGCTGATTAGTTTTACACAGAACTCCTTGGAGAATTTAAATCATCAATTTCTTTTTGCAAAACAAGACTCTCAGTTAGGGAAAATCTGCTCCTAATTGTACGATGAAAAATGCAATAAAACTAAAAGTGGGAGCGTCTGTTTCAATTATACAGTTAAAATAATCTTGACCTATATTTTAAAATATTAACCACTCAACTTTGTTTTAAAAGTCACAAAATAAAGAAAAAAAACCCTTCCTCTTTGGCTTTTTTTCCTCTTCTTTTTCTTTTTATATTATTATTTTTTTCTCTCTTTCTCTTTCTTTAATGTCTAGATTTTCATTATAATATTGGAAATCTATGTAAACTTATGTCTAGACATTTATCTGCTGCTGCTGCTCCCACTCTCTTTTCTCTTTTTCTTTTCTCTGTTTTCTTTTTTCTTTCTCCTTTTCTATCTTTTTTGTCTTCTTCTTTTACTCTTTAAATGTTTAAATTTTAAGCTCTTATCTCATTTCTTAACCTCTCTGAATTGATAAAGTCCACAAGAAAATCTGTGGATCGAAATAGCCTATTTTCCGTATAAGGTAGTTTTGGATTTTTAATCTATGTATTATATATATGTAAAAAACAAAACAAAAAGAAACTGTGAGGTTCCATAAAACCTAATGCATATTATGTATATTTTTGAAACCTGATTGCATATCAGACGTTTTCCTTTTCCTTTTTAAAGCATTTCACCCTAAGCAAGGCAGGAGTGTCACTGGTTCACAGGGGGTTACAGAGAGCGAAGATGAGAGAAAAACTGTTTATAGTGGGGAATGAGGAAAGGATAAAAGATGAACGTGGCTCAAGACATCAGAAGATGGCAGTTGATGTTGCTTTTAAATTTTTGAAGGTTGTAGTTATCAGGGAAGCAAGTAAATGGAAGGGAATTCCACAGTCAGGCAGTGCGAGAAAAGAAGCTGTTGGAGTAGAAGTGGCAGTTACATTTAACTATTTCAACAGTAAAAGGGTGGGACCTAGACGCCAATATAGTAGCACGCTTAAATTTATGTAGTCGGGCCAATAGGGAAAAAAGCTTGACAAAACAGTAGCTATGGTAATATCTGTAGAAAAGACAGAGGGAAGCCATATCATATCCGTGAGAAAGTGACTGAAGTTGAGAGAGATGCCAAATTAAGTTTGATTACATTGCAGATCCTTCTTTGGATTTTGTCAAGAACCTCGAAAAAAAAAAAAAAACAAATTGAAGAATGAAAAAATGTTGATATTAAATTTTTATGTAATATTTCAATTCTTTTCTTTTCTTCCTAATTTTATTTCAACTCTACCAGAAATCACACTGCTGGATGTATTTTTTGTACATATTTTCATCAGAGGAATGTTTGGTGTCTTTAACTTTCATTTACTCATATTTGATTGCATATAAACTTAAGTTCCCTACAAATTTACACTAAAAATTTCATTCTTATGGAGTTAGACTAGGGATAAGTACTGATAGTTTACAGTGTGTAAGTAATTACTAACCTTTCAGATACTTCAACTTGGCATTTAAAAAATAGAGATATGCTTGAGCCAGGTTTATTGGGAAAAATGAGGTTTTTATTATGACAAAATGATTGAGATACCCACATAGAATAGGAGAGTGTGATCATATCTCGATCTCACCTGCTTAGTTTATGGCCAGTGGATGGGATTCTTGAAGCGGCATCCACTTGACCATAGTGGAAGGAAATAAGTAGGTAAAGAAAAGCATTTGAGGTCAAGCGACAACAAACCGGATATTGATTAGTTCCAGTTGCTGGTCTATCTATATTAAAAGTCATGCTTGGGATCAGAGAAGCCAGTTCTGGCTTGCTCTTTGGCGGGGGACTGACTGTCCTTCACATAGTTTTGACACTGTTCATGTTACCAGCCATATGTCATGATGTTTGAGATGCAGAGGGTTGGTAGGGGGAAGAGTTGATGGGAAAAATCGAGCTGTTAGATTGACAGTAGAGATTGATTGAAGTGTCACCTATGTCCACAAACAGATCAAACAAGCAAAGCTCTGAAAGAAATAGCTATGTTATATTACTGACAACAGGGTTTGAGTCATCTTTTCTCACAGAGGTGTTTGTTTTGATCTTCATTACCATGTGAACATGCAGTGGGCATTTCCCAGTTTTCGGTGCATACTAGTGTGAACAAAATGAGGTAGTCACTGGACAGTTGGTGGAAAGCAGGGCGAGGGTCACATTGCATGTTTATATTATATAGCATTGTTTCTTTGTTTAACGGCATATCAACACCTTTTGGTCATTTAATGCCAAAATTTAATTTTCTTGGGAGCATTAGTAATTTTCTTTACAAAAATGTATTGCTGGTAATTTTTTTTTCAAAGATTTATTGATGGTAATTTTTTTACTATGAAAATGCACTGCTGTTATTTTCACTATAAAGATGTATTTTTATACTTTCATAAAGTTTAACCCCAGTTTGGGGGTTAATTATTTGCCCATAGATGGGGCCCTAACAGGTGCTACTACTTCCAGTCATGGTGGACCTGAGAACAACAGCAATTAAGAGGTGGTTCCATGCTCTTCAAAACCTTCAATCTCCCAATCAAAAGCCTTGCTGCCGGATGTAGTTTATCATCATACCCAGGATGATATTATATGGCATCAAATAAGGTAAAATTCATCAATACAAAAATAATTTAAAATTTTCACAGCATGAAAGTGGGTCATGCTATCATTCCAAACAAAATGTATCAGTTGGAATGATTAACGAGCTAAATTCAAAATGGAATCAATATTTATAAATTTCTTTTCATCAAAAATTATTTCAACTTTATACTTACATATAAAGATGTTCCTAACAACAATACAGCATCACACTCTCGGATTTTCTCAAACACGAAATTCACTGTTGATCTGGCAACATTATCACCAAAAAATATTATTTCCGGTTTCAAGACACCTTCACAATTTGGACAAGGCGGCACCTAGATTAGAAAAATAATGAAATAATTTGATAGGGGAGCACAATTTTGAAGCAAAAATGTTGAGTTTCAGACATTTCAGAATTTGTTAAACAATATATACAAGGTTTGTCTGAAAAGTAATGAGACTGAGTGTGCTGTGTGAGCTTTGGGCATCATCCACAATGAGTTCTTTCCGGAGAGTCAGACGATCAATCTGCAAGTCTTCTTAGGAGATCCTGCAGCATTTGCTTCACTCAATGCGCGAGAAGAAATGAGAGTTGTGGCAGGACAAATTATAGCTGCTTCAACATGACAATGCCACTGCTGTATTCCAATGTTTGACAGTTACCAAGGTCTTAATAATTTGTGGAAAATATAATGGTAAGAAGAATATGAAATGGACTTTTAAAAGAAACATGTCTGAGGATTTAGGGCAGGTCAGTGTGAATGCTTTTTGAAGAATATTCAATAACATGTATCAAAGCAATTATATAAAAACAGAAAAAAGGGAGAGAAAAGAGAAACAGGAAAACTAAAGACTGTTTATTGATGGTTTCTTATTTTAAACTAGATATGAAAATCTCGTCTGACAATGGTAATGTGAGTAAAGTTACAAAGGTAGTTTTAGCACAATGCCTTATCTGGCAGTTCCTGACTTTGAAGAACATTGCCGCACTGGAGCTTTCTTATTCACCTGATCTTGTTCCGTGCCTTTTTTCTTATCCCCAAGCTCAAGGGTATAATCAAGGGCACCCATTTTGAAGGCATGGAAACCATCAAGAGGACCGTAACAATGTAACTGGGGGCATCCAAGTACAATCCTTCCAGTAGTGCATAGAAGCATGGCAAAGAAAAGTACATTAGACTCAAGGGGGGATTATTTTGAAGGAGAAAACATCTAGTTTCTTGTTTGGAATTGAAATAAATTGTTTTGTGACACCAGTCCTGTTACTTTTCAGACAGAACTTGTATATATATATATATATATATATATATATATATATATATATATATATATATATTTATATTTGGATAGATGTGAGTTTGTTAGCTCTATCTCTGATATTGAGCGCTTTCTAATAATAATTATATATAATATATAAATAATTATACATATATATATTTATTCATATTTATATACACTTTTCACACATATATATATATATATATATATATATATATATATATATATATATATTATAAATTAATTGATTTAAAATATGGTTTTTTTTTTTTTAGCTACACAGTTCTAACCATGTTTCAGAAATGGAAGCTAAAAGCTTTGAATTTCATTTTGTAATTAAATTAAAGACATTAGTTCCATTTCATCCTCAAGCGAATTTTGGAGTAACTTATTTATTACTGGGTTTTAAAGGCACAGCAAAAATCTTAATTCACGTTTCCAAGGATACAGAGAAACCCATTCATCTAGACAAGGGGTGTTTGCATGTTCATTATGTCTGTATTTTGATGTATCAGTTATTAGTTACGTTTTGGGAGGGGGTAGGGATGTATTTTTCAATGAAATCTGACATCCGTTAAATGCATGTCATCTGGATTTTAAAAAAAATTTATTGTTAACGGCAAAAATTCTTACGGCATTTTTTTTCTATTTGTATACTTAAAGATTTTGGGGGGGGGTTTAGGTTAGAATACGTTTTATTTAACTACGATGTGAAAAATATTTTCACTTTTAATTTTTAATATACTATATTTCTTTTTAAAACAAGTAAATGTATTAGAATCACTTACAGTATGTAAAATTATTTTCACATCAAGTATAAATATGTATATTACTAGGTCACAATTTTTTTAAAAATTTATATTTAAATATTATGTAAGTAAAATTTATGACAATGACGGCAAAAATAGCTAATTAATTTCTCTGATTTAGTAAACTTTTATTTTTTTATATATTTTATTATAAACCCAGTAATATATAGTTTCTCATGTAAGTACAAAGGACATGGGTCATTTAATGGCTTACATCTTCTAGCTTTTCATATTAATTTCATTTTACTGTAGATGTTTTATTGGATTCTTTTAAGTGCTTGTAGTACTTTGAGAGAGGTGTTTAGGTTAGAATACGTTTTATTTAACTACAATTTTAAAAGATGTTTAGGTTAGAATTTGTTTTATTTAACTACCATTTTAAATACAACAAAATATTTTCAGTTAATTTTAATAGACTATTTTTTTTTTTTAAATAAGTAAATGTATTAGAATTACTTACAGTAAGTAAAACTATTTTTCCATATCAAGTATAAGTATGTATATTACCAGGTCACAATATTTAAAAATTTTATATTTAAATATTATTTAAGTAAAATTTATTACAATTACAGCAAAAATAACTAATTCATTTCTCTGATTTAGTAAACTTTATTTTTTATAAACTTAGTAATATATAGTTTCTCATGTATGTACAAAGGACATGGGTCATTCAATGGCCTACATCTTCTAGCTTTTCATCATAATTTCATTTTTCTGTAGGTGTTTTATTGGATTCATATATATATATATACACATACATTCATAATTTTTGTTTCCAAGGATACAGAGAAATCCAATCATTTAGACAGGGGTGGTAGTGTGTTCTTTCTTATTAACTATTATTGTATGGAAACAAAAATTATGAATGTATGTGCTTTTAAAACTCAGTAAATTTTAAAATAAGTTATTCCAAAATTCATTTGAAGATGAAACAAATCTAATGCTTTAATTTAATATAATTGAATTTGAAGTTTTTGTTTTCTTTTTTTGAAACATGGTAATTCCTGTGTAGCAATGAAACCATATTTTTAAATCAGTTAATTTATAATATTTATGCTCTGTAAATTTACATTGAGCACTGTTTTGTAAAAATAAAATATCAATAAGAACACCAGATTACATATCTTACTGTTCTTTTTTTTTTAATATAATAATATATATATATATATATATATATATATATATATATATATATATATATATATATATATACACACACATATATATATATATATATATATATATATATATATATATATATATACATGAGGTTTGTCTGAAAAGTAACAGGACTGGTGTCACAAACAAATCAGTTAATTTATTATATATATATATATATATATATATATATATATAAATAAAAGGTAATAAATCTGTTGGTATATAATCTAAGTGGATCCTAGTAATATAAAATATTCAAACTAATCCACAAAAAGAGCTCAAATGTATTTATTTTAACAGAGCCAATAAATAGTATTACACAACTAAATCCAAAATTACCTCATGGATTTTGTTGTATAATACTAATATATATATATATATATATATATATAGTGTGTGTGTCTATGTGTGTGCATATAGTGGCATATATGTATGGACATGTAAGTGTACATATATGTATGTATGAAGATATGTATGAATATAAGTGTGTTGGACAACATGTATTATTCCACTGAATATATATGTTTCAATCCATAAATCTATAATTCAACTAATTTACATTAATCTTAACGGGCTTAAGTTTAAATCCCTCATTGCTTATTAATAATATTGGACACCTGTAGTACAAAAACTATTTACTGTGAATCTCAGAAAAACACAGTTGGGTGTCATATAAGAAACAGCACATAGTAGGAACTGATATTAAACTATAAACAACAAAAGGTTCTAGGCATAAATAAACTAACCCCAGACAACTTCCTCTGGGATAAGATACCTTACGTCCCCACCAGTCACTAACACAAACCCATTCTCATTGACAATGTCAGTCCTCTACCAGAAGAGGACTGACATTGAAAATAAATTTAAAACAATGCTCCAAGAGAGATACTTTGGGCTGATGATAGCCATATACAGAATGGCTTGAAATAGACGATCCCATGTTGAGGTAATTTTTGTTTTTTGCTGTAAAAAATACATATGTTCTGTTATAATAAATACATTGAGCTCTCTGTGGATCAGTTTTAATAATTAAAATTACTACTATCCACCCAGATTATACACCAACGGATTGATTACCTGTACTATATATATATATTGTAATGATACAATATGGTAATCCATATGAAATTTCCAGGCGGATATAGATCCAGGGAAAGCTCTTTGTCAAAAGACAGAGCAAAATTATTATTAATTAAAGAATATCAAACACCTAAAATCTTACACAATTATTACCTATGGGATTTTAAGTGTTTGATATTCTTTAATTAATTATATATATATGGGAAAAACAATATATTATATATCAACAATTTTAAAGGAAAAAACTGTCAGAAAGAGGAACAAGGTTTCATGTGACACATTTTGTCCTTTAGGACTTCATCAGACTAAAGTGATATTTACATTGATGCAAAAACATATGCACAAATAAAAAGGGATGCTGAGAATTTTAAATTTTAATTTTTTCTTTTTTTTTTTTAAATATACGCGTTGGGTATATAGTGTAGCCAATTTCATTCAGCTTCTTTTTCTTTTTGTTTATGTTTCTATCACTTTTGTTATTAAATATAACACATTATGTTATAATAGATCTGCAAAAAAAGGTGAAATGTTTTAAGAACCTGGATGTAAATTTATTATGGATGATCTAGTGATTAAAGCACTTTCTATATATTTTCATCTTAGTAAATTGCTTTCTCCCTTAATTAAAGTAGTATTTTTTTTTTAAATCAAAATTATGGTCAGTCTTATTGCAGTGAGCAACTGATGCATTTAGTGCGTTGTTTTGTAAAAGACCCCTTTTGTGTTTATATAATCTTATTTAAATTCCTTGGTTTCTCCTATGTATTCCTTGTGACAATTATTACAGGTAAATTCCTCCTTCAAAACCTGGTATTATGTACAAAGACAAAAATTAATTCTCAATATTAAAATCCATCTTATGACAAGCAACACTCTAGGCTTATTCTGTAAGGTTTAAAGCAAAATAAGGACATGGTACATGGTAAAGTAAATGGTAAAGAATGGGAAGTGATAAAAATAACCCCACCAAAAACCTAACTTCAATGCTTTGCCCACAAACATATCAAGTTCAAATGCAACCAGATAACTTAATTTTTAATATGCTGTCAAAATTTGCTGTGGCATTGTGTAATCATTTTAAAAAATAAAAGGGTCACTATTACACTTTTTCACTCATTCTTCAAAACATTCATTCTTGTGCATTAAAATTTGTGGACGCTATTACACTTTCGCAACCCCCATGACATTGCCAACCACACAATGTTTTTTGTCTTCAGTTCTTTTTAGTTTAAAATAGATTTCCCTTTTTTCTTTATATGTTTCATAATTTGTGGATTTTAATTTTAAATAATACATCTCATTTCTATATCTTTATCACTTTCTTTTTAGAAACTTTTGACAGCAAAAACACATTTAGCTTTTTAAAACCATTGCTAATGTTTGTAAATTAAATTAAATTATTAACAATTGCAACAGCCTAACTGTTGTTATTTTTAATTAATTTTCTGAAGTTAAATTTTAAAAATAAGTTTGTTTTCATTTTATAAATTTATCTGGTTTTGTTTTTAGGGGGTGCGAAAGTGTAATAGCGCTAATTTGTATTTAGATTAAATGTCTAGAAACCATTATGTTTTCAATCAAGAAGAATAAGATCAACATTAAAGGTGCTTCAAATATAATACAAATTCAAGAACCAATATTAGTAAAAACAGGATATTAAAATTTTGAGTTCTTGAATGGATGATTACTTTGCAGAATTTATGTGGAATCAACGCATAAACTCTGCAAAGTAATCATCGATTTGTTTTTTTTACAATAATTCCCACTATGCATACAGGCCCACCCCAGTTTCTCAGGGTTATTCTGGAAGTACGCAACTGGGGGAGGGGGAGAATATAACAGCCCCCAAAAAGAATGAATTAAAATTTTACCCATGAGGTTATGACTTAAAAGAATAACCACTACTTAATGACAGAACATTCCCCACTATTTTCCTTAAAATTCAGCGATCACCTTAAAATCTTTAACTTGCTCGTCTTTCAACTGAACGTCTCCATCAGGGGCGATGTCAACACTCTCAATATTCCAGTCGGGATTAAATTCGGTGATTAACTTCTGCATATCCGACCTGGTCATCTCATATGAACAGTTCAAGCAGTGAACTCTGTGGGAACAGCCGTGCAGCTCAGTGACCCTCCGACTGCCAGCCTTAGTGTGAAGGGCATCAACATTTTGAGTGACCAGCCACGAAATGCGACCCTCTCTTTCCCACTGAGCCAAGACTTCGTGACAGATATTGGGCTGGAAAGAGGAGAACTGCGGCCAAGCTACAAAATTACGGGCCCAATACTTTTGACGGCGATCAGCACTTTTCAAAAATTCTTGATATTGGATCGGACGATGGTCAGTTCTTGCATAGAGGCCAACCTTTTCTGATCGGTAATCGGGAATACCGCTCTCAGTGGAAACTCCTGCTCCGGTCATGACGAACAAACGGCCCGCCTGTCGGAGAAAGTTTTGTAATGTGTTTAGTTCCTCTTCCAACATTGGTCGGTTGGCAGGTACAAACATGTGGCTGTGTGAGCAGAAAAATCTCCGACCATTTTCCAACAAGGGAAGGAATAATTTCTTCATTATTCTGTCGGCTCTGGACGCAAGGAGTTAGTCAAACAAAAAAAACCAACACTTACATAATAACTTCGTTAAAGCGGTACGGAGGTTGTGGGTGAAGCGGAAAACTAGTATCATTAAAAAGTTGCATTCCTGAAACGAAACGAACGCATTTTTTTTTTTTTACATTTTTATAATTTAAAAAATATGAATAATATTTTTAAAGTTTAAATATTATTCATAATTTTGTTTTAACTCATTCTTTTTCTAACCAATGCTCTCTTTTCATTCTTACTTATCACACCATAGCAAAAATATAAATTTTAAAAACAGGTATCTCCAATAATTCGCCGAAAAAACAGCATAATTAATATGATGAAAAAAGGTCCCAAACTTTTTTTTTTTTTAAAAAAAAAAGAAATTTTATCGTCAAAATGAAGAGGAAAGACCAAAGTACTTTTTATTGATTTTTTTCATCCTTTCTAACACGTTCGAAATTTTGGTTAAAAATCTTTTCTTTATTTTTTAAGTCAGCGGTCGACATTAAAAAAACGAAAAAAAAACTTTAAAAACTAAAAAGGGTCTCGGTCCAGAGACGATGATCAAATTGTAGTATCTGTTCCGTGGCCTTGACCAGCTAAGACACAGGTTTTGTGCCCGATTCCGCGTGAGCCGAGGCCGAGTAAATTTGGACCAGTGGCCCGAGTGTTCGTGCTCTGGTTCCCCCACGTTAAATAACAGACCTTGTGTCACAACCTAAGTGGAGGGGTCTAAATACCGAGACAAACATTGAAATACTTACCAGAGCGCCGTCTCTACCGAATTCCACACATGGTCAAGGTTTAAAAAAAAAAAAAAATAACGTGGAAAAATTGCCTAAAGCCCCTCGGGACTTCCCCTTTTGTTCTGGGGACGCATCAGTCGCCTGGAAATGAACCTAGCCCCCTCTCGAAGGAGAGGTATTGCATGGGAGGAAGGTCTCGCTAGGGCTTGGAAACGACTGTTTTGAATAGTAATGGCACAATTAAAAAAAAAAGAAAAAGAAAAAAGGGCTCTTTAAGGAGCTTAAAATTAAACACCAGTAGCCGTTTAAGTTAAAGTTAAATTTCCAGTAAGATGAAAGTTGTTCTGTCTCCTGGTTCAGTTGTCCGGGAACCAACTAAGTGATAGTGGCTCTACCACAACCCCATCGTAAAAGAAATGAAAAGAGAATATTTGCTTCTAGTTCTAAAAAAACAAACAAAAAAACAACAACAACAAACAAACAAAAACTAATTATAAGCTCAGATGGAGATGTTTTTCCACTTGTGCAAATTTTTACCTAAATTCGACTGTATTGATATGATTAATTTGTATCTCACGTTCAAAATCAAAGATTAATAAACAAAACTTTCTATTTTCTACATTCATATGATAAAACGTATAAGATTAACATTAATTAATTATCGAAGAGTTTTTTTCCGGCTAAACACACTAATAAAAAAAATGTTAAATTAAGAAAGAAAATAAAATTAATAACATTTTAATGAATTTATTACAAAACATCATCAGTGAAGTTTGGGTTTAAATTTGATATTAAATCTTCCACAAAACAGAAAAATAATCCATAAATACAACATTTAAAGAGAAAAACTTTTATTTTACATTTTTACAAAATAAGCAACAAGTACTTCCTTGATGAAACAAACTTTTCTAAAAGACTTTCAACAAGTTGTTAAAATAATTAATTGTCATTTTTCAGAAGAGATAAGAATAAAGAACTATAATTTTCATGAAAATTAAATTTTCAAATTACAATTAATAATATTTTTCAGGACACGAACACACAAATTAAATTTTAAATACGTAAAAAAAGACTAATGTGAAAAACTACTTTAACTTTGATGTTTCGCAATGAACCGGCCTCATAAGGAAAATAATTTTATTTCACACGAGTAAAAAAAAATCTAAGTTAGTTTTGTTCTTGTAGAATAACCTCAAGTTATAAGCAAAACATGCCAAAGTTAAATTTCCCAAATTGTGTTTTACCATTTCTTCGGATTTTCATATAACTGAAATAAAGTGTAAAATTAAGTAAAAAAAAAAAAAAAAAAATGTACATACATTTACTTATTTTACTTCAATTTTTAATTAGAACAAATCATCGGATAAATTTAACTTTTAGGATATTAATAGGCTAGGTTTTAGAATTTCAAAGCAAATGTCATCTAATGATAATTTTTTATTATTTATTTAAAGAAAAACATTTTTTTTTAAATACCACGCCATTTCAGTTGGTTTGAATTTCGTTCCAGCAGTTCTTAGTTTTGCAACCAACAACTTCCCCACGTGTTAGGCATCCATTACAGAAGCCTAATTTCTTTTGGAAGCTTTGAAGAACTTAAGAAAGGAAATTCTCAGATCTTCTGTTGAATTGTAATACCAACGCTAAAATGGACCCCAAAAAATTAGGAGACCTGGCTAATAGGCTTCGAGGTGGCAGTAAAGGTTTAGGAGCCGGTGTCGGCCTTTTAGCAATGGCAGGAGGCCTGGCTTATGGAATATCCCAATCTATCTACACAGGTAAGAGGTTACAAGATGAATGTTAGCGTAACCTTTTAGAAATAAGGGCGTTATGCAGAAGTTTGTATTACATTTTATTTACTGTTTTTTTACTTCTATTTTTTTTTTTTTGTACCATCTGATCTGATTAGATAACTATTGTTATTCGCCGATGTCATTTAAAAAATCAAAAAACAGCTAGACATTGGTTTCTGAACTTGCGAACGAAGGTCATTTGATGGTTTGCTTCGTTATTAGTCAGTAATAGTCAACACAGTGTCTTCTAAAATTTGTATATGCTGATCAATTGATATCTTTTATAAAATATTAATATCGTCAATTGCCGACAAATATGGTAACAGTTCACCAGAAATGCATAAAAATTATGATTTGCCTTCCAAACAAGTTAGCAAACTATTTTTGCAACATATACATTTTGTTAGGATAATTTTTGAAAATATTGGTGATAAATTTGTCTTACAATCGAATGTATTATTTATTATTACTAAGTTTACTACATTTTAAGTAATAAAAAAATAAAAATCCACCCCCCTTCTCTATAAATATTATTGCTTCGTGTATTTGTTTGATTTGTAAATTCCAGAGATTTCTTTTAGTTTTAACTTGACAAGCATAAAATTATTTTAATTTAAATTTTCTATTTTTCTTTAAAAAAGAGAAAAAAATTGATAAATTAATAAAATCACTCAAAGAAAGCTTTAAAAAATGGTAATTAGAGAGTAAGTGTCCCGTTTATTTGCAAACTGAAATGAAATCGATCAATGATTGCGTCATAATTTTTATTTCCTTTTTTTTTTATTAAAGTTTTTTATTTTTCAAGCATAAAGTAGGTAGACCGAGTCAATATGCCTTTATTTTTATTTACCTTATAGTTTTTGAGATTGGAAACTCAATTCTAAATTACTCAAGGAAGGGCTGACCAGTGAGAGGAGAATTGACGACTGGAGTCTTTTGGGGTTTGTAATTAAAATTACTAACAGATAGACTTTGGTTACATTTTTGGTAATTAGTCTAAAATTTCACTTGCTAAAAGTCCATGAAACCTTTTTAAAGTTAATTTCTTTTTATTTTATAATTTAATTTTTTTTTTAGGTATGTCCTTATCCTGAAATTTTTATCCCCAGTGGAAAAAGCCCTAAAGTCTTCCCTCATCTTTGCTAACTGCCCATTTTATTTTTAAGTTTTATTGAAATGGCTACACAGATAAATTATTTACTTTTTTTTAATTCTCCAAATGCGGAGAACTCCTTATCTCCCTCACCCCTTTCTAAATAAGGACAGCAAAAAAGTGTCATCAGTCAGTTGAGTGGATCATATTCCTACCATATCGAGAGTACACACACTCCTCCTTGTCCATTTTAAAGTTACATCTTGCTTTTTTTACTCAATGCAGCAAGTGGGACCATCTCTCTCACACATACATTTGCCACAAGGTGTAAGTGTCGTTAAATCCGCTCATGAAATATACTTTTTTAAAATCAGTATGCAAATTAGTTAAACCTGAAGAGTGATATCACCTAGTAGATAATATGACACAGATTTTGATATTTTTTTTTTTTTTTTTTTTTGAAGGATTTTCAACGCAGGCTTATCCTCTCTCAGTTGCGTCTCTTTCTTTAGGCAAAGTGTGCTCAGTGGTTTCTCTGTCAAAGGACAGAGGAGCAACTGAGAAAATTATACTGAAGAGATGCCAAGCCCTGGAGAACAGCTGCGCCCTCCCATTGCACCAGAGGGAGGGATCGGTGCTCACACCGAGGCCAGTGCAATGGATGGTTGCAGGGGCTGAGGGCAATTTTTGTACTTGTCCCAGGCGTATGCACCTGGGTCCCCACCTAAAAGACCTTGTGTCACATCTTGTCCAAGTGGGGGGAAGGAGTTAATGCTGCATATAAATTACTATAAAGTAGAGTTAAGGCTTTTTAACCCCAGAATTCGTTGGATAATTGTGCTCCAGTTTCGCATTTATTCATATAGATTCCATAATATAGGTTTTACTTAGCTATAATGTTTCTCTAACTCTTTAAATGTTGAATGTATAACTAATTCTAATTTCTATTTCCCCATCTTTACACTATATTAATTTTATCTTATAAATTGTCCCCTGTTCTGCCACCCATGAAATAAAAATTGTTTGTACGGAAAATAAGGATCTACGTACATCAAATCGTCTTTAAATTAAGTGGCAGCAGAAGAATTATCATTGAACTTTTAAAAGGTAAGCTTAAACATTAATTCAATACTTGAATGCAGCAATCAATTTTGAGTTCTTCTGTAGTTTATTGATGTCTATCGCATCCACTCCTCCCTAGATATTGTGATGATAGCCAAACCAAAAGTCCTCCACAAGAGCTATCTTAAATGTCTCCTGATAGGGCGGCTTTTAAGCTAGCTTATAATAAAACGTCCACTGCAATTTTGGATACAAACAGAAAATAAGAGTTATTCTCCTTGAACCATGAAAGTAATGATAATGGCTAGTATAATATATTGATATATATTTTTAACCTCGCATAATCTGGCAACCTTGAATCGGAGCTCAATGAAAATCATTCCCTGCTTTTAACTTTTCTAGGGCTTTTGAATGAGCTATGAATCCTTGAAATCAGACCAGTGGGAGTGCAGGACACACACATCCACTGTACTTTATATATAAGATATAAAATGCATTTCAGTAAGTCTCCATCATCCTGTGTAAGAGGAAGAAGTAAAAAGTTCCTGGTAGAAAATCTTTGAAAGTAAGAAACAGTTGACTAATAAAGAGTTTTAAGGGATGAAAAAGTAGCAGAAAGTCTTGATTTACAAGGCATAAAACTAAAATTAAACAGCTATAGAGAACTTAAGCAACAAATACCTAACAACTGATCATTTGGAAACTAGGAAAAAAGAGATATGATTGCTGGGCCACTTGAATTGGTTCCAACCAAAAATTGATATGAAATTAAACTATATCTAATCCTTGTTAAAATTGACACTATGACATCAAATCTGGATTTTGAATTCTGAATGACATGCCTTTCACCTATCCTGGGTATAAGGATAAACTACATCCATGTCCTGGATAAGACAATAAACTACATCCAACAGTAAGGCCTCTGATTGAGAGGTTTTGAAGATTGTGAAACCACCTGTTAATTGCTGGTGTTCCCAGGTCCATCCTGACCCGGTGTGGTAGCACCTGTTAAGATCCCAGCTATGGGCAAATAGTTAACCCCCAAACTGGAATTAAAATACTATGAAAGTGTAAAAATAGGTTTTACTACCAGAAATGCTTTGTAAAAAAAATTATTACCAGCAATGAATTTTTGAAGGAATAAATTATTACCAGCTATACGTTTTTGAAAAATAAAAATATTACCAGCTATATGTTTTTGAAAAATAACAAAATATTACCAGATATACATTTTTGAAAAAAATATTACCAGCACTAGATTTTTGAAGGAAAAAAAAATATTACCAGGAATAAAAAATTTTATCGCCATTAAATAACCCATTGAGTTTGATATGCTGTAAAACAAACCAAACCATTCTTTTCACTGTTATATTGTTCCTTAAGATTTCAAGATAGTGTTACTGGTAATTGTTGGATACATATAATTTTTGTGCTCTAATAAATGTTTTTTAATTTTATTTTTTGTGAACTGACATCGGCAACCTTGGCCCTGCTAGTTTTTGAACTCTCTACTTTTAGGGGCTCTTGCACTTTGTATAGGGTGAACATTTAAAGGAGGAGGCTAATGTTTACAGAAATCTTGGTTCACTGCTACTTGCTCAGCTGCCATTGCCCATAGGAATCACTTCTGCCTGTACCATAGTAACATGTCAGATTGCAACAGACATCTCTTTGTTTCAGCCTGTAATGAGTGCGAGCGTGTCCTCAATGAAGCAAAGTCACTATCTGCTGAAAGAATGAAACAACGTATTGCATCTCGCAAATTTGGTTCCAAGATTATTTGCATCTCTGCAAAAGTGTACTAAACAACAGCAAACCCACAATACCTCCTTTATTCAACCAATTTGAGGTCCTGACTTCCCCAGCTGGGTGCTTTGCTTTGAAATTCTCATCCAATTCAACACTCGACTCATCCGGTGTACCCACACCCGATTTCACTCCTAGAACTGTAGCTCTATTGAGCTAGTGGCACATAACCCCATTGGAATACAGGATACAAGCCGTTGTCCTGAAGAAATGTGCTCCTGAACTTGCTTCTATCCTCTCCAAACTATATAACTGCTGCCTCAATGACTCTTGCTTTCCAGTCTCTTAGAAATCTTCATCTGTTGTACTTGTCTTTAAGAACCCTGGAGACCCTTCTGACCCATCTAACTACCATCCTATCAGTCTCCTACCACTCTTTGGCAAAGTCTTTGAAGCTTTAATCAACACAAAGTGGTTAAGCACCTTGCATCCCATGAACTGCTCTCTTGATGGTTTCCGCTTTGCCCGATCTACTGCTGATGTGCTCACAGCCATAACTGAATTTATTTACCAAGCACTTCGCAATAACGGAGAAGCTTGTGCTATGGCTCATATATCCCTAAAGTGTTTGATAGGGTTTGGCATGCCGGCCTTCTTCATAAGCTTCAGGGATATGGAATTTCAGGACGATTATTTGACTTGATACAATTATTCCTGTCAAACCATGTAATGAAGGTCATCCTTAACAGATTCTCCTCCAGTTCCTTTCTAATGAACGCAGGTGTTCACCAAGGCTCTATCCTGGGCTCTACACTGTTCCTGATCTTCATTAACGATCTTCCTGAAGTCATCAGTTCCCAAGTAGGCATCTACTATTTACTCCTGCCTCAATAGCAAATCCAGTATCACTGACAAAACTGACCTGGCCGTTGGTCTTAAAAAGGACCTTCAATCTGTTGTTGACTGAGGCAAGAAATGGTTGGTTAATGCCTCAAAAACAAAACGGCTCTTTCTTACCCACCACAGAGAACCCTCCCTACCTCCGATTAGAATGTCTGATGCTCAACTCTATGAGAGCACCTCTCTGCACCTGTTTAGTCTCACACTGTCCGCTGACCTGAGATGGAACAAATACATTGAATCAATAGCTTCATCTACCACAAAGGAAGCTGGTTCTATGTGTCGTGCCGGTTTTTCTCGCCTGAGTCCATCCTTCAAATCTATAAAACAACCATTCACCCTTGCATGGAATACTGCTGCCATATATGGTCTGGTGCCCTGCTGTTCATCTCCCATGTCCTTGACTAAATCCAGATGCAATGTGATTGATCTTGATCTGGCATCTCGTCTACAGTCACTTTCTCACAGATGTGCTGTCACTTCCCTCTGTCTTTTCTATGAATACTTTCACAGTAACTGCTCTGATGAGCTACTTCTGCTGGTTCCCAAACTACATGAATTTAAGCATGCTACTAGGTTGGCATCTCAGTCCCACCCTTTCACTGTCAAAACAGTTAAATGTAGCCATCTCTTCTTCTCAGCCATCTCTTCATCTCCAACAACATGTCTCGCACTTCTCATGTGTGGAACTCCCTTCCTCTTACTTGCTTCACTAATAGCTATAATTTTCAATTGTTCAAATGCAATGTCAATCGACATCTTCAGATGCCTCAATCTAATTCCCTGTCCTTCTCTTCATCCTTTCTTCTATCATGCCTCTTTACTCTTGCTCCCACTCTCTATAACCCCTTGTGTGCTAGTGGCACTCCCACCTTACTTAGTGGGGGGATGCTTTAAAAAAAATGTTTGTGCCACAGTGTTATCAGAAATTTTTAAATTGGTTGTATTGACTGGTTAAGAGACAAAAGACAATGGCGAAAAGTGTCAGCAAATATTCCTATGGCTGTGTCCCAAAATCTTTGTTGTTACACAATATGTGGATTTGTATGCCAGTCACTCGTGGGACTGAAGTATCATATATGACACACATAAAAACTGAATGAAGTTGTTGGATCTTTGTTCGTCAAAATCGACAGGAGAGTCCATCATACATGCCCCCCACACACACAAACAAGATAATAATATATAGTTTTATATATCAAGAACAGTATTGACCAAGTGGGAAAAGTTTATTTGTGATATATTTGGTCCTTCAGGACTTCATTGGACGACTACACATGCGCATGAACGAGGGATACTTCTTTACAATATATCAAATCCATTGGTTTCCCAACACAATGGGTTTGGCCACAATTTTGCCATCCTGGTAGATCTAATATCACAATGTGGGATACCAACTAACAAAAGTGATGGAAAGAAAAAGACTCCAAATGAATTTGGCTAGATATAAAGAAAAAATTCTAAAATTGCCAGCATCTTTCATTCATGCACATATGTAGTCATAAGAAATTTAGTCTGATGAAGTCCTGAAGGATGAAATGCATCACAAGTAAACTTTACCACTTTGTCATATATATATATATATATATAATTATACATATATATATTTATATTCATATACACTTTTCACACACACACACACACATATATATATATATATATATATATATATATATATATATATATATATATATATATATATAAATAATTATATATATATATATATTTATTTATATTCATATTTATTTATATTCATATACACACACACACACATATATATATATATATATATATATATATATATGGTTGGATTGATGTGATGTTAGGTCTATCTCTGATATTGAGTGCTTTCTAATAAGTACCGTGTATATATTTATATTTATATACACACACTTTTCACACACACACACACATATATAAGCAAAGATGTCCAAATATGAAAATTGATATGCAGCACTCTTTGCAGTGTTGAAATCAAAATATAATCCAAAAATCATCAAGAAATCTAGATTTTAAAAAATAAATAAGTCCTTCATCCATAAGTTTGTATTCATCTGCATTTCAGAACACTTAAATTAAATTATCTTTATTTACATTGTTTGGACTGTTATCCTCATCTTTATTGTCACTGGGCCTCAAAGACACATGGCCCAGTGGATAAAAATGTTGGTTGGATCCAATGACTTTACCCTAAGAGTTGGGAGTTCAATATCTGGCTATGGAAGTGGTGAACAAAAACTTGGAGAGTCGAGTTAAAGGGAGATAACCGAGACGTTTGGAAGCGGCATGGCATGTGGAACTAGAACAATATACCCTAGTAGGCAGAATAAAGGGTTCAGCTCGCAATTCCAATCACTTGACGAAGTCTGGAGCATACAACGGCCGAAATGTCGTGAATATGACAATGAAGATTAGGACAACAGTCCAAACAATGTAAATAATTACAATACCTCATCTCAGAAATATAGACAGATATTAAATTGTCTTTTGTGAAGATTTTATTTTTCCATTTTGTTCCAATGATGTAAAAGGTTTATTCCTTAGACAATTCCTGAAACAATAATGTTCTTCTTTTCAGTTGAGGGTGGACACAGGGCTATTATCTTCAGCCGAATTGGTGGTGTGAAATCAGATATTTATGCTGAAGGTATCCATTTCAGGTAAGTCTCTATTACATCCAGTCCCCTTACATCAGTGTTTATACCAGATAAAACACATTTTACTTGTGCCAGTATAAACTTAGTAAATATCAAGGAAAATTATATCCATTGTAGTCCACTACATAATTTTCGGACCCAAAAGCCCTAAAAGGTTTGTTGACATGGTGTAGTTTCTTCCAGTCAAACACTTGTGGCTTAAAAATTACCCTTTGGCCAGATCATTACTGATGAGTGAGCAGTAAACCAGATTTTATTCTTGGGTTCTAACCTACTGCCGTAAGCAAGCAAATAGAGATGAGGCATAGGTGCACAGTCCAGCGGCTTTCTACCCTGTCTCTTCTGTGAACCTTTTTGTGGGAGGGCCAGTTTTCTTTGTCTTGTCATCTTTGTCTAAAAAAAAGTAATTCATCTTTCTTCCATGACTTTCTCTCTGTCTGAGCCTCTTGCTCTGTACTTTAAAAAGTGTGTGTGTGTGTGTGTGATATATATATATATATATATATATATATATATATATATATATATATATATAAGGATTAATACAAGTAAAATTTGTCACTTAGCTGATGGATGTTATATTCAGCACCTCAACCTTAAAAGTTTTATAGACAAACCTTTTTATAATAATTTGGCCCACTCATCAGGCGGGTTTCAGCAATTGACTGCATATATGATATGTTCAGTGTAGGAAAGACATATTCAACAAAAAATAAAAAATAAAAAAATAAAAAAAGTTTTTTTACAAGATATTAGAGCTGATGACAATATTTCGAGCTCAATTTAGGTTTATAGTTTGTAACCATGCAATGAGATGAGGTAACATAAACCATAGATTTGTCTGCAGAATATCATTACATTACATAATTATAGTGAAATCATTAAGGTTTTTTTTTTTTTTTTTTATCTTGTCAAAAGCATTTTATTTTGGGTCATATAGTAATTTAAAATATTCCTTTTTACAAGCTTTATTTTTTAAGTGGAATAAGACCATTCTAAATTTCAGGATTTTGCTATTGCCCATCAAAATGCCTGGAAGAAAGTGATCTAAAAACAACAATGGAAAAGAGAGGTAACAAAGCGTAATTGAAATAGCTCCAGTTTGTTCAACTTAGGAAACTTAGCATTGCAGCCAAAGTATTTAGAATGCTGCCAATAACAAAGGAGAAAATGAAAAATACCTGACAACAAATCAAATATAGCATCAGAATTTATATTATTTTATTTATTTGTCATGTAACTAAATACATAATTGTCAACAATATTTCCGTAAATATTGATATTTCCTGCAATAAATCCTTAATAAATATTATTGTTATTATTTTACTTAAGTGTAAGTCAGTCCTACATTTACAATTCCTTACGGCTATGAAAAGAAATATTGATCAAAACTGTCCAAAAGCTTTAAGTGCATATTGACGCAAAATTATCAAATGTTGAATATGCCCCTCCTCTGCTGAATGCATTATATATATATATATATATATATATATATATATATATATATAATATGTGTGTGTGTATGTATAATCGGCAATGTTTTGTTGGTCCTCATCAGACCAGAAAATTTTTTTCCTATAATCAAGTGAGAAGTTTTTATTTTAGTAGTAGACATTAATGAAAAAAACCTTAAGCTTATGTAGAACAGCACGAATTCATCTCTTCACCTGCCAGCTATGGGTTACATCATAGGGATTGTATCTAGAAAAATCATTATAATCCCCCAAATTTGTTAATTTTCTCAGAACAAAAAAAAAAAAATGAATTCTTTGTATTATACAAAATATATTTTGGCTTTAAAAAACCCACAAAAAACAATCGATCAACAGAAAAATATTTAAATACTTAATAGTGGTAATATCGAAAGATATGGGGGGGGGGACTAAAATGGTCTTGACCCAATCCACTCCTCCAAATCTGGCCAAATAAATGTTTTTATTTATTTATTTTTTTTTTCTTATAAGCAACTTCAGAGTTTGACCTGTGCTCAAAGTTGCTTGAGTTTTGTATAAGTAGTACTAGAATTGCATAATTTTTTTAATACCTTGGTTTAATAAATAGAAAAGACATTTCAGTGTAATTATAGTAGAATATCTTGAATACAGTATAAAATATATTTAGTAACCGTTTTGGTTTAATTGTGGATATGTAGGTGGTGTACTGGAATGAGAAATGGATTTGAATTTGAGTAAAGTTACATTCACTTACACCTAAATATTCTTGGGAAAGGTATGAATGCCTCTCCTCTTCCTGCCAGGTCTGGGTTAAATAGGCTTATACCTAGAAAAAAAAATTTTTTTTGAGGGGGAGGCTTTATCTTTAGTCAAATTTTAGTAAAGTTGCATGAAGGGGAGAGAGATCATGCAACCAAACAACCATAGTATGCTTACATTTTCCTTTTTTTTTTTTTTTTTTTTCATCCCTTTTTGGTTAAGTCTAGAACTTTTCAGCACCTCATCTCATCCTATTATTGCATGGTTAAAAATGGTAAACTTTAATAGTGACTAAAAAAAAAAATGTATGGTTGGTATATAATTTATTCAATGTTATTTTTTTTTCTCTTGTATTGTATTTTTAAATTTTTACTGAATTTCTGACAGGGTTCCCTGGTTCCATTATCCAATCATTTATGATATTCGTTCAAAGCCAAGAAAATTATCTTCTCCAACAGGAAGCAAAGGTAAGACGTCTTTTTAATTCTAAGATAGTCATTTGTTTTTTTTTCCTGTGTATATATTATTGTATTAAGTTTATGGCAATATCTATGTCCTGCACAAATCCAAAATTTCATTATCCATAGATAATATATGTTCAGGAATAGTCTGTAGATGGTTATTAAGACTTGCTTAAGTCATGGAGTGCTTCTTCCACCCCCATCAAGACAATGCTCATCACCAACTACATCAATAACTTGCCTCTATATCTTAACAAATTGTTATCCTGTCCTTTAAGATGGCTGCCTTTTTACTCATTCTTGATATTTTCTGCCAAGTTTGAGAGCTCATTCCTAAACCATATAGAATTTGCTATCAGGGCTATTCATTATTATCAAGTAGTTTTCTCAAAAGGACTAAAAATTGCACCAAGGACAATCTCATTTCATTTTTACAAGATTATGTTCCTTTACTAGAAGTTTGGTTTTGGGAAATAAAAACCCTTTTCATACAATGAAAATTTGAATTAATTTGGCAGAAGGATTTCAAAAACTATTTTGTCTTTCTAGGTTTGTTTGTTTATTTATTTATTTATTTATTTATTTTTTTTTTTTCTGTTTGCAGATTTGCAAATGGTGAACATCACACTTCGTGTTCTGTCACGGCCAGATGCATTTTCTCTTCCTCTTATGTACCGCCAGCTAGGTTTGGATTATGATGAACGTGTCTTACCATCAATTTGTAATGAGGTAAGTAGAAATTCTCTTGCCCACTTCACATGACTTTTTATTTTCTGACTTTATTATTAATCTTTTGTGTTCAGTCGAAGAGTAAGTTCCTCTATTTTTAAATAGCAGTTCTGATTTACTTTTCTATGGAAGAAATTTTATATACAAGGTGATTGAAAAGTAATTCCTTATTTTATGGATGAGTGGCCAGCCAGGAGTCCTGACTTAACACTCTATGAATTTTTTTTTTTTTGAGGTTGGTTATAGGAACAAGTCTACGATACCAAACCAAGTCTTTGGAAGAACTTGAAGGGCAAATACAAAAAGTTATGTCTTCCATACCACAAGAGTTCCTGGTGAAATCATTTGATGTGATTTATGGGTGGCTGAAGAAGCTGGTAGCAAAATTTGGGGCTCATATCAAATTTTAACTAAAACCTCATGCTCAACACTTTCCTCTCATATTCATTTCTTATAAAAATTATAGTTAATAAATAAATTATAAGTATTTTAAAATGGCTGTATGTGTTTTATTTATTTTATATATATATATATATATATATATATATATATATATATATATATACACACACACTTTGGATTTCAAAGAATCAACTAAAAATTGAAGGGTTTTTTTTTTTTTTTTTGTTTTTGTTTTTTTTTGTTTTTTCCTAATGTTTACCCAATACAAAGCCCAAGGGCCACTCAAGGTAGAGGGTTACTGTGTGGAGTTGTATTGGCATACAAAAGGGAAAGATAACAGAAAAGATAGCTAATTTTTGACTTGAAGAAGTCAAGATTTAATTAGTGAATAAAATATAAGTTCAGGCGGAGACATTGAGTATAGAATTGAAGTAGGCTTTAGAAGGAACTGGAGACTCACTTCTAAACAGGAAACTTACATGTTTTTTTCAAAAATAATTTCATAGCTCACTTCAAACGATAGGGACTTTATCTTTCTAAATGTTTTCTTTCATGTAATCAATAATAATAATACCAAAAATGAAGCAATTTAAGTTTCCTTAAAATATTAGCTCTTTTGCCTAATCTACATTATTGGCTAATGGTAACCGACAGATTTTAAATTGTAGGTAACCCTCTCTCTAAAACATTGGTCACCATGCACTAATGGACTAAATAGTTTCAGCATCATATCTGAGTAGGAGTTAATTAAACCAAAGAAGCCATGAGACTTATTAAATGCAGAGGGTGTAGCCAAACTTTTGGCCTATAGTAATTATATATGCATATACACCCAATGAGTGAACAGTGATTTCCGGGGAGGGGGGCTCAGGGGTCAGGATGCTTAACGTAACAACAGCTAAGTGGCAAATTTTATATTTTGCATTAAAAGTGACAAAAACTGAGAAAAAAGTTAAATAAAAAATAATTAAGTAAAATAATACATATAGTAAGGGCCAAAATAAAAAAGGAATAATAATAATAGCAGTAGTAATAATAACAAACACCTGCGTAGGAGGAAGGTTATTTGATAGGAAGGAGTAGAAAAACCATATATGCGTTAAATGATAACAGATTAAGCAAGATCAATAATATTCTAGATCAGTTTGAATCTACGGTGACGACATTTGGAAACTAACTCATTCCTTTGATTTATCACTATACTTTGATTATCAAATTTAATTATTCTAATCTTCTCTTCTAAACACAGGTTACATCTACCCTTAAAATTACTAGGAGTGTGAGTGAAATCTATGAATTTTCAGTCAATCTGAATGTTCAGATCTTTCTCCCTCAATTCCCCAAATTCTTTTGGAAAGAACAGTGGTATTTTAATTTTGGGTTGAAAAAAAAGTGTCTATAGGTGTGAAGTCTTTGTTTCCATTCCCCCACAAAAATCCCAATGTAAATATGGTGGTTTAACTTACTTTCTTTGGAATAAATGGTTGCTTGGTAAATAACATTTTTGTATATTACTTATTTTAGATGTTACTTTTTAATTACTCTTTCTTTAAGTTTTTTTTTTTTTTTTTTTTTTTTTTTATAAAAAAAAAATAATCTTATTAAAAAAAACTCTTCACTAATTTTTTAATTTTTCTTTAAGTAATTTTCTTTCTAGAAACTAGATGTTAATATTTTAAAATATAGGTCACGGTTATTTTAACTGGTGTCTGAATCCTAACACTCCCCTCATACTACCATGAAACTGTTTAAGCTTTATCTAGACAATTTGCTGTCTCTGCTGTTATATCTGTCTTTCTCTTTTTCGCTTTTTCCTTTCTTTTTCATTTACTCTTTCATCTTTAAAGTTTAAAATTTTTAAGCTACTATTTTATTTTATTTTTTAACCCCCTGGTGTTGACAAATCCTGCAAGGAAGGTCTTTGTTAACGCGAAATAGCTATTTAAATGGGGTAATTTTGAATTTCTATTCTATGTAATTGATCTAATATATAATCAATGGAAACAAAATTTGAATTCTATCTAATACTTTACTTTATTCTCTTGCAATTTTTCCTTGTAGGTTTTAAAAAGTGTTGTTGCTAAATTCAATGCCTCTCAGTTAATAACCCAGCGTCAGCAGGTCAGTATGTTAATACGAAGACAACTGCTTGAGCGGGCCAAAGATTTCCACATAATCCTTGATGATGTATCAATTACAGACCTCAGCTTTGGACGAGAGTACACTGCTGCCGTTGAAGCCAAACAGGTAAGTCCTTTGTTCACATAGAAACTTTCTGAACTATGATACAGTAATAAAATTAAATGTTCATTTATCTGCCCGTTGAGTTTTGCAAAGACTGCATCCACTCTTCAGGAGACTTTATTGTAAAATTGATGTTCAAAAATAATATTTTTCTTAAAAGATGTTGTCTTATGACATGAACTTATTTGAAATTAGCTTATTATTGGGGTATTAGATAATGTTTTTAATATAATCAGAAGTTAGATATTAATGCAACTTAATTTGAATTATGTATAGCCAAACAGTTGTATACCGGGTGTGACAGCAAAATTGTCCATTTTTTTAGATTAAGCTTTGAACCATTTTATCTTAGAAATGATTAATGCTATCTTACTGGAATTTGCCAAGGTTTTTATAACACTACTTAGATCTACTTTGAGCAATAACAATACATAATTACTCTCCAAGCTTAAGAGAAGAATCATGATGAAATTGATCATAAATGAAAGTTACATGTTCATCATTTAATTAATTATAGCTAAGGATTGAAAGCTCATGAAGGTTGAAATTAAGTTCATATATATATATATATATATATATATATATATATATATATATTCAGGATCATTTTCCAACTTATGCAAGATGATCTTTGCCCTCACTAACCTTCTAACTTTCTGTCTTGGAGTAGCAAGGTGCCTCACATGTTTCACGTATGATTTCATTTTCAAGTCTATTTTTACTGCTCTTTGGACTGTCATAACTGAAACTCTTCTCTCGTGTGCCAAAAGTCTTATGGATTGAGTTGGATCTTTTCTAATTGATCTCTTTAGTTCTAAATTGAAATGATGATCCCTCTTCCTGTTGTGACCTCCTGATCCACTTTTCCTCTCTACTGTTCCTTCTTTTTTTTAAATTTATTCACCATTTTCTTGATAGTTCTTAAATGGACTTTGAAGATGGAAGCCAGAGTATAAATGTTGGTACCATTACTGCAGGCCTGAATGATTCTTTTCCTCTCACCATTGCTCAGTTGAGAAGACAGTGGGGCTGACACAAAATGGTTTTACCCTGTTCTCTTTCTAGTTCAATAACTCATAGGGTTTTTCACTGATTCTTACTACAAATGGTGTCAAGGCAGCTAAACTGACCAGGAAGATTTTCCCACTGTAGGTGGCCGTTTCTTTCAAGACCAGTGTGTCCTGCTATTTAACCTAACCTAAAAACCTAGAAAAAAGAAATTGTTAGTTTTTTTTTTTTTTTTTTTTTTTTTTTTTTTAGATATTAAACATTAAACATATTGTGGGATGGATAATTATGCCATTACACCCAGTATGTATACACATGCACACACCTAACATTTTTCTTAAAGTTATCTATGTTATTTTTATGTGTATTGCTTATGGCCATATCATGTTGGAACACCATTTCTCATCTAATAACCAAAGTTACGTAATATTGAGTGGTCAGATGCATGGTCACTTGGGAACATCAGGTGCTGTAAGCTTGGGTGTGTAGGTGGTGTAATGGATGATGGCTTGTTATGGAGAGCTGGATTCCAATTCCTGTTGGGTTTGTTATACTCACTCACGAGCAAATATCCTTGGCAAAGGCATGAATTCACTTCTCACCTCGGCTATTGGTTAATTAGTAAGATTTGTATTACTAAACTATTGTTATCTCAAAAAAAAAATTCTTACAATCTAAAAAAAATATTTTCTGGCTTTAAATAACCTGTAATGGTTGAAGCCAAAGAAAATGGCTCCTCAATCAAATTAAGATGCTAACCACTTGTCTCAAAATTAATTTAAGCTAACCTAATAACGTTTGTCAGTCTGTAGTGTTATATTATTGTTGTATAGAAATTTTTACTTTTTTTTTTTGAGTTTAGGTTGCCCAGCAAGAAGCTCAGCGTGCCCAGTTCATTGTAGAAAAGGCCAAGCAAGAACGACAACAGAAGATTGTACAAGCAGAAGGAGAGGCTGAAGCTGCAAAGATGATATCCTTTCATGTTGTCAATCAATTCAATGAAATTCATTTAGTTTGACTCAAATGTTTTCGTTCTTTTCTTTTTTTTTTTTTTTTTTTTTTTTTTTTTACTAATCCATTTGGTACTTAACACAGATTCCTGTAGTAAAACATTAAAAACTAACAGGATACTTTTCAAAAATGATTGGATTATTTATGGGTGGATTTGCACTTCTACCTTGGATCAGTTTATCTGAGCTTTGCTTAGGAATAGTGTTGCTTACTGATCCTCTGCTTAGGGTTAGCAGAAGGAAAAACTTTTTTGATGGAGTCATTTGTGTGAATTGTTATCTGTTCTTGTAAATCAAAATTCTAGTTTAGAGCTGTCTATATTCCTCCTCTTTTTTTTTTTTTTTTTTGTCCTTATTCTAAATATCTACTTTATCAATCTTGATTTTGTGTTTTTTGTAATAGCACATCCAAGTCGCAGGATGCCGAGCAAGTACTTTCCTTGATAGATATATATATATATATATATATATATATATATATAATCGACTCTCCCGTCAAGATTCGACATATGAGGGTCAACCAGATCGGTTTCCAGCAAACCAACAGCCCGACACCGGCACATGAGATTTGATTATAGTGGTGAAGGCCTCGTGCAGGACCATCCACACTTTTGAAGGGACGAATACAGAGACCTGGTGCACCGAATGCCACAAGGTTCCCAAACGACCCTCCAGGGTTTGAATTCAGAGTTGTCCTTCTAGACCAGTTGCCATCCAAGGCTATAGAACCCAGTCTGTCCTGCTATTTTGCCCATAGCTGGAGGGAGAGGAAGAGGATTCATATATATATATATATATATATATATATATAATATCTCAAGGAAAGTGTGTGTGTCCTCACTGTATTTGTTAAAAGATTATGAGATGACACTTCAAAATGGAGGGGGATTAGAGAGAACCTGGAGATGCTTATATTTGGTGGAAGGAATAATATTACGAATGTTAAGAACCAATGTCTAAGATCCTTGTCAAGGAGAGGGAGAGAGAAATGAGTTAAGAAATTTTATAATTGTAAATGGTTGATACGCTATATTATTTAAAAATTTATGGTAAATTTTCAATTAGAAATTACAGGTATTTTTTTTATTTTGGCTTTAAGATTTTTTTTTTTTTCTCAAGCGTTTAGAATTACTCATATCTTGGATTTCCATTTTATTTATTTTTTATTTTTTCAAATAAACTCTGATGACCAGAGGTGTTTCCCCCAGACACTACCTCCCTATTGTACATGTTCTGATGGCTGTTCAAATGAGCTGTCATAAAATTAGTATTGAGTTAGTATTGGCTTTCCTACGCATAAAAAAAAAAAAAAAAAAAAAATGACCTTGTGTCGCATTTAACCACTGTAATGTGATAAATGAATTTCAACAAACTTCACATACATCAGTTTGTAAGGCCTGAGTTATCTGCTCTTGATTATTCACCCTATTTTGCTAGTCATAGAAATTTAAGTTTTGTTTTTTGTTTTTTCTACCCCAATATCATCTTGAATCTATTCTTCCTTGACAAACTCACGTTGGACAGGCTATTTCTACCAATCCAGGTTATCTGAAACTAAGAAAGATCAGAGCTGCTCAGTCTATTTCCAAAACAGTAAGTATTCATACTTAACAAAATAAATGAGACTTCACTTTTTTCCCTTTTTAACAAAGACAATGTTTCAAAAAATATCTCCTATGTCCTATGTGAAGTTGTATCTGATCAGATAATGTTTCCCCAGACACTGTAGACTACCAACATTTGTAGCTAGTCTCACTATAAAATACTGTTTTATTATTTTCACTGGTGTAAAGGGATTTGATATTTAAACTAACCATGTCCGCCCCTTGCTTTTTTTTTTTTTTTTAACAGGTTGCCTGAATTTTTAACGTGTTATGGATTAATTGTTTTAAATAATGTTGAAATTTTTGTTATGGATTTTGTCAGTCTGTAGGGAGTGGATCATATAGGGAGTGCCTGCTTTGTGTGTTTTGGGTAAACATAAAAACTGGGTATTCTAGGGTGGTATTCTAATAATTTAGACCATGACATGTCCTTATATATATATATATATATATATATATATATATATATATATATATATATATATAGTGGACTCTCCCATCATATTTGACATATGAGGGTCAAGCAGCTCAATTCCTAGGAACCAACATCCCAGACACCAGCAAATATGATCTGATTATAGTCGTGAAAGCTTTGTGCAAAACCAACCACGCTTTTTGAAGGGCCAAATACAAAGACCTGGTGCACTACATTCCACAAGGTCCCTAAATGACCCTCCGCAGGTTTTGAATTCCGAGTTGTCCTTCTCCTAGACCAGTTCCCATGCAAGGCTATAGAACCCAGTCTGTCCTGCTATTTACCCATAGCTGGAGATATATAAATGAATCTTGTTGATCTTAGTTCTATTAAACAACATTCCTCAGAAAAATATAGCCATGTACATAATATTAGACAGATATTATTTGATAACACAATAATACTCACATATACACACAGTAAAAAGAACCTTCATATATTGGTTAAAACAAAAGCAAGCCACACTCAACAAAATTTACATTTCAAATTAGTCACAACACATTACATTACATCTAGACATTGGTTCTGTTGTAATGCTTCAGTCTATCGTGTGGTATGACATCATAGAATCACATCTTGAAATTACAATCTGCATCTGCTATCCCGCAACCGTGAATGTTGCATAGCAATCTTCTATGTCAACATAACAAAATATCATCTGTGACAGTGGATATCTTTGTTTCATGCCTGTATAACCACTCTGAGGATGGCACATGTGAGCTGAAAGCTTAGGACCAACTTAATAAAAAAATATCCAAATATTGCACAATTTTTGTTTTTACTTTCACTCAAAATTAAAGCGAACATTAGAATGGCTCATGATCAGACATAATAGACATTCATTGTCTGCTATATTTAATGTTTAAATAATGATCTGCTGCCCCAATACACTAAATTCAAATATATATATATATATATATATATATATATATATATATATAACATGCATTAAGGGTTCTTTCAAACAAGTTTTGTTAAATAGTATTGACAAGTTCTGTCTATCCAATTTTTTTATCAAGTTTTTCAAATTTCCAAATAAATTTTATATAATCAGTACACTTTCCAATGTTCATCTTGTAACGCCCCCATCACAAATTCTTTCAAATGTTGATACTTTTTTTTTTTTTTTTTTTTTTTTTTTAAATGTTTATAGAACAGTTTTTGGCTAATTTGGTATTCCCTTGTTTTCTGGAACCAATTTTGAATTGGCCAAAAACAGTTCTATAAACAGACAAAAAATGAAATCCTTAAACAAATGTAGCAACATTCAAAAGCAGTCATGTGGGTAAAGGGTGTTGAGAACAAAAAAAAAAAATGAACTCTGGCAAGTTTGCCAGTTATATGAAACAACTTATTTGAAAAACTTTAAAAAAAAAAAATGAAGTAGAGCATTTTTATACTTTTTTAATTTAAAAATGCAACTTGAGCACAAAAAAATGCAGTTTATGAAGAAGTTACTTTGATTAACTGAACATGTTAAGTGGTTTGCAAAGTTTTGCACTTGAGGTGTCTTATTAAACAGTGCTCCATTGTTGAATCGACCATTTTAAAGTCAGTAGCAATTACTTGAGAATAAATAACATTAACATGTTAATTGATTTGATGTGTAATTTCCACGTAAGTTTAAAAAACCCCACCCTCAAATAAACTTTGTTAACCAATACTTTTTATTATACAAAAACAATTGTCAATGAGTAAATGAAAGTTAGAAATGACTTTTTTCTCATTCAATATCCTGTTTGCTGTTGCTTATAATATACACAAGTTATCAGCTTTGACTGGATTTTGTAATCAAAAAAAGGTGTTGAATATTGATCAGTTGTTCTCTGAGGCAAATTCTTCTCTATTTTGCAACTGTTAACCTTTATCATTCTATAATTTCATTTGTTGTACAAATTATCTTGCTACTGAAGGTGACTCTGATCTCTGAACAACAGTGTTTGAATTTCATAGTTGTGTTGTCATATCCTGCTATGACAACAGAAAACAAATTTTAATGAAATTAACAATATGGATACTGCAATTAAGAGGTCTTGAAAAAGAATGCAGTGAAAAGGATAATAATATTAATAATACAGAGTGCTAAAGGTTAACCACCTCTTTCCTTCCTACTTTTCTGTTTTTGGCATTGATGATTATGAGAAGATGCATACTTGAATCAAACATTTTTCCTTTATTTGATTCTGTCTATCTTATTTTTCAGATTGCTACCTCACAAAATAGAGTCTTCTTGGATTCCAATTCCTTGATGCTGAATATAATGGATCCTTTGTTTGGGGAATCTGCAGAACATATTAAGAAGAAAATTTAGATTTGTCTTCTGTATGTGTTATAGAATGATTGGAAAGGAAGAAGTGGGTCACTTGTTCTGCTATGGTGCTGAATAATGCAAACATCTTTGGATAGTTTTTAGTCCCTATTCACTTTCACAAAAAAAGCACAAATGTGAAAGGTGAACTCCATCCATATTAAAATAAGTTATTAAAAGCAGCAAATTAAATGATACTTAAACATTGCAAATATCAAGTGAAACTACAAGATCTCCCCCCACCTCCAATTTCTCCTCTCTCTCTCCCCTCCCAATTTTTTTTTTCTTTTATTCTTAAATAAGGGTTTCTGATTGTGGTGTTTAGGGATTTTTTTTTTTTTAGTTTCTTATATTCTTACATTCTGAAAAGCCTTTGCTTTAAATAATGTTCTAAATTATTTTTAGTATCAAATATAAATAGTTACTCGAGTCTTGAATGTAAGCAGGGTTTTGCAGATATGACTAAGGTGGATTTTGTTTTAAATCAGTCAAGTACCATGAAATATTTCCAGGTGTTGATCTATTTTGACTTACAAGATGTTTCTAATAAAATGTTGAACATTGAATTTTAATTATTTGTTATTTAATAATTCTTAAAACAACTTAGAATGAAAATTAATATGGAAAGCTTTTTGCAATATAGTAGGGACCTTATCATCCAATCTCATATTTCTCTGTATACTTTTAAAATGTGTGGCCTTTTCATGTTATTTGAAATGAAACTCAAAAAAATTTTTTTTTTTTTTTTGTTTTTGTTTTTTTTTTTTTAAACAAAAAACAATTGGTTCACTGGACTAACATACATTAAACAAAATAGTTATATTCAGACTGGCTTGAATATCATGGCAATCATTTTAAAATATTCACTCCTAACATATTAATGAAAAACTTTACCAAATAAGGATTCTTTACAATCTTAAATCTATAAATGACAAACATTTAGCCTTGTTAAAATCTTTTGATGTAAACTGCTCTCTCCTTCCCTCGTAGGGTAGCTACAATTAAATTCTAAGAAACTAATTTGTACTTTTAGTACAAATGTCAGCAGCAGTAACAATTAAGATACACTTGCGTTTTATTTTTGCATTAATTTTCATTAAATAAAAATTTAATAAAATGGAGTGACAAAAAAACATCAGCTTTTTTGTTGTTGTTTTTCTCAAATGAAACACTAGTGTTGTTACAATCAACTGAAGATAACTATTAGCTATGTCATGTTGACCTATACTTAACAGGGTTTTCAAAAGGAATCTCTGGTTTTCTGTTCTTGTCCCTCCTACTTATGGCCATATCATATTAAAACATTACTTCCCATACAACCACTGAAATTAAGCAACATCAAGTTTGGTCAGTACCAAGATGGGTAACTGTTCAGGAATATCAGGTAAAGCTTGGATGTGTGTGTGGTGTAATAGATAATGGCTTGGGAATTGTTAATCGGAGAGCAGAACTCCAATTCCAGTTGGGTTTATTATATTCATTTATGTATCACTCCACTTCTATCCCCCTAACTATGGGTTAATTAGTAAGACTTGTATCACTAAATCTTATATTATCTCAAAAAATTTCTTACAATTTAGAAATATTTTCTGGCTTTAAATAACCTGCAAGTTGTTGATAAGCCATAGAAAATCAATCATTCCTTTCTACTTTGAAATTTTGGAACAAAAACAACTTTTCATTTAAATTGTTTCTGGTTTTAATCTTTGTTTTCTCCTGGAGCATTCCACTGATCAAGAATTCACCTTTCGAATGTTGCTACATTCGTGTAAGGACTTCATTTTTTGTCTGTAAAACTGTTTTTGGCCAATTCAAGGAAGAGCAGGGAACTTATTTTTATTTTTTCCAGTAACCCCTTCAGCATATTTCCTCTTAAACCCCACTTCTTGCTGTCTATGGTTGATTGTTCAGAATGAAAGCATTTTTTTTTTTTTTTTTTTTTTAATTTGGTTATCAATTGTAGATATGGTACCAATAAATTACATAGTAAACTGTCTTGTCTCATTTCTCTTTTTTTTGTACACCAGAGTTGAAAATTTCTTGCTCTTGTTGGTATTATGTAACTAGAAATGGCAATGAGGGGTGGGGGGTATTCTATCTCCAGAGGAAACAAATATTCAGTTGAAGACAAACCGACCATTCTTGTAATTTTTAGAAACCAGGAATTCCTTATTTATTTCAACTACTCAATGAACTTTCTGCTAAATTGTTAATTTTCATAGATAGATATATTTGACTTTTTTTTTCTCTCTCAACCCCCCCCAAGTTTGAACTTTTAGAACTTTACCTTACATCCAATACAGCAACATCATATGAGAGGAATATGAAGACCACAAAAGAGGTGGGGTTCATGCATGCATAGACCTTAGCTCTGAAAGGGAACAAACATATCACTAAAAATTTCACCCAGGAAAAAGAAATTTATGGAATTGCACAATATTTGGCTGCATGTTTTGTAGAAATACCAGATTTTATAGGAATATTTGCCTGACTGGTAAATTGCTGCTTGCTTTGTGTGTGCCTTTGTTGATCTATAAGTATTGGAATTTGCTTTTCTGCATGTATGGTATTGGACCTCATTTACCAATAAGTACCATATTGGGGGTGGGGTGGGTCTGCCTATTACCATTTGTACCAGTGTTCACTGATACTGTAGATTACTTCGTAGCTGTTATGAATTTACTGTATGTGCAGATATTGCTCCCTGAAAAACAACCTAAAACAATTTTTAATGAATACATGAGGAAATCTACTAAAATTCTTCTTTTCCAAAAAAATGTCCTTAAAAATGTTACCAATAGTATAATTTGTGCCCCTACTGTTTCTTCATGATTAATAAGAATGTCACATAAAGGTACAGTTATAAATTTTTTTTTTTTTTTATGTGTACTTTTTTCATTACGCCCCCCCCCTTCCAAATATTCCATGCCAAAATCTGAGTGCATCCAACAGGCCAGCAAATATGGTACTTTAAATTCAGTCTCCTGCAAAAGGCACCCAAGATTTCAGTCAATTTAAAAATACATTATAAGGGGAGAAACTCTCTTCAGACCTTAGCTGCCAATATGATAATGGTAATATTAGCCATTTCCTTATGCGGGAACATTGGGTATATATTGAACGAGCAGCCAGGTTGAAATTTACAAAATTTTTAAGGTAAATAGGTTTCCCTAAGTCCACTTATTGCTTTAAAGCACTGAACGACATTTACATCTTGATTGGTATTTTCTCCGAGTTATATGGGATATTTCAGTTGGTGTTTTTGTAAGTCCTCAGGTGATGTAGCTTGTTATTTTGTGATTCTGTAGCACCAGTCCACAATCTAATAAGGATGGTCCTTGCTAAGACCTACAGGCTTCATTCATTTAAAGCCATTTTTAATCATTGATCTGAGAAAGCAGTTGTATACAGCTGGCAGTTTATTTCTAAACAACTTTGGTACCAGGCATGATATCCATACAAAAGTCTTGATCTAATGAGGCAATTAAAAAAACACAACTCGAATTTTTAGGTCAATGTTTTGGTTTTTGTATCAGTTTGTGGTGTTGAGTGAAACTACCACGAGTGCAGCCTATTCTCTGTTCAATTTCCTTTTCTTCTATACTAAATTTGTTATAACTGATCAATACATGTAGATATACAAAGTGTTTATTGTTGCATTGCAGCTTGGACTAGACATCAGGTTTGTTAACAGGATGCAGTTTCTTGCAGTCAAACACTTCATAGCTTAAAAATTATCCTTCGGCTAGATCATTACCCACAAGTGAAGAACAAAACAATTCCTAGCAGTAAACCAGATTTTATTCTTGGGTTGTAACTTACTGCTATAAGTGAGCAAAGTAGACATGAGGGGAAGGTACACAGTTCAGTGGCCATCTTCTATGTCCATTCTGCAAGAGTTACCTTCATTCCTTCTGTTTGCCTTTTCACAGGATGGTAAGTTTCAAAGGCATTTTTCTTTGTGTTAAAAAGTAATTAATCTTCCTTCTGGGACTTTCTGTCCAAGTCTCTTGCACTATACTTTGAAATTGACTTCGCTTATTGATAATCATCAGTCGAAAGTAAATGTTCCATATCAAGCTGTGTGACAGGTCCCAGTGTTTTTCAATTTAACAAAGCTTCAGTTGATTCATATTGCTACACTACTATTTACTAATTCCAAATGCCAAATTTTTAGGATGGATTCAGGGCATGTACTATCACCTTTTGCATATCAATTCCAGAAGTTTCAAAAATATAAAATTGGGTGCAAGGACCAGTTTTTGTTAAAGATAATTACTACTGATGATCACACAATGGTAACATTTAACACTAATTAGAAGCTCTTAATGTTCTGAGTAAAAAAAAAAAAAAAAAAAATACTTAGCAGTATAAATGAACTTGGTTGGATGATGTGTATGTGTATGTGAAGTGTAGCTGTGGCAGACATAGATAAGACATAGCACCATTTTAACTGCAGAATGATTGTTGGGTAAAAAAAAAAAAGACTAATACCAAAGTGGTAACTGCTCAATTTTCTTGGGCAAGAGTATAGTGGGAATGTATGTCTTCTAGACAGATACAAGTGGCACATGAAAACAAGTGATGCAGGAATATGGTCAACAGGGATGGTAACCCAACAAAGGATAACATTGTATCAATTTTCATTCCAATTCAATTCTAGTGCTGCTCAACCCATCATTCAATGTAAACTGTACAGTTTCAGATTAGTCTATCGATAAGGCTTTATGGCTTCAGTCATTTTCTCTCTGACAAGACATACTTTCCCTGTGCCTTTTCTATAAATATTTTTGTGATAATTCTTCTGATAAACCTTCCTCTTTGGTACTTTGACTTGATGAATTTAAACATAATACTAGATTGGCAGCTAGGTCTCATCATTTTACTGTTGAAATAGATGTAGCCACAATTTCTATGCTGACAGTTTCTTCTCGTGCACTTCTTTCCTGTGGAATTCTTTTTTAACTCCTTCCTTTCCTGTCAACATTGCATTTAAATTTTTGAAGATCAACATCAATTGTTATCATCTGTCTCCTTGAATCCTATTGGCCTTCTCTCCTCAATGTTTTTCTTGGATTCTTTCACTCTCAGCAACCCTTTCTGTCTTAGTGGCTTTATCCCTAAACAAGTCAATGGAACCACTAAAACACAAGGGGTTACTGAGTGTAAGAGAATGAGAAAAAGAAAAACATTAAGTGAGAACAATAAAAGAACAGGCTGTTTTGATTGCCTCCCTATAAAAAGCTGACTAATATGGCTGGTCTCATCTAGTTCGTTGAAGAATAGTGATCAGAAAATATTTTAGGCATAGTCACCCTGGTTAATAAGCTAGAGTAGTTGCTCTGGTAGGGAGACTTTTTTTTTTTTTGTTACCCTATTTTGATAATTTTTCTTGAAATAACTGGTTTTGCTACATATCTTCTAAAAGTGTATAGATTTGTGTTTGAATGCAGTTTCCTTGCCATAGTTATTTGCTAATCATATTTGAACTTTAAAAAAAAAATTAGGGGTGGACTGACCCACAAAAATGCCACATTGTTAAAAAAAAAAAAAAAAAAACTTGTAAAAATAAATAAGATAACATGTTCTAATCTTTTTTTTTATCAGAAAGCTATGAAAATTGAATGTGACCTTTATTCAAGTGTACTGAACTAAATTTCAAAAGCAAGTGACAAATTTGAGGGCACTTTTTTTTCTTTTTTTAAAAAAACAAAAAACAAATGGCTTCAGCAAATTTATTAAAATTTTGTATTTTGCTATAATCCCCTTGTAACAAATGTACCTTAAATACTTCACACAATAGCCTACTTAAAATATACAGCCTGCTATTTTCCAATTTGTCAAGAAAAATGGGCTGAACTTAATGAAGTATGGTCCCCCATGCTAAGAGTCAACCCGATGTCCCTGGGAACTGAGACTAGGGGCTGGCTAAGGATTTTTTCCCCTTGTTTCAGAAAATGAGATCAGTGCAAATAAGAAATTACATTACTTAAAACTGGATATGTTATTGGAAACATGTTTATCATTTGCATTAAAACATAAAATTTTGTCAATGATTTTAGATAATCAAAAAGTAGTCCTTTGAAGAAGTTAACCACCCAAAAAGCCGAATGGGTGTTCTCTATTTCTGGAACACAAAGGGAATTATAGAGGTGGTCAGACCCCCAGCCAGTATCCATGTAAGCAGAGAGGGGCAGGGAGTTAGTAAAGTAGTTAGGTGACTAATGAGTAAGTGCCCAGCGGTCAGTGAGGAAGGGTCTGGCAATCAGAGAAGAGGAAGTGAGCAGTGAGAAATCAGCAATTGCCTAGATGGTCAGTGAATGTAATGGTCCTTTTCCCATGGCTGGAATTTAGGGAGATAGTAGTTCAGGCAAAGGAAAACATAATGAGAATTTGTATTGTTGCTATTTACCAACCAGTTTTGTAAAGCATTTATTGTTATTTTTTTTGTTAAATATAATCATGGCAAAGCAGACAAATCTATGAGCATAGCAAGTCGGATGTATATGCTGACCTTGGATGTCATCCCGCCTGCTGTTTGTTAGCCTGCTTATGAAACCAGAGACATTTTCCTCTGCAACAGAAATATTTCATGGGGCAATGGTTTTGATAAACTTTTCCAGTTATGGACAACATCAATTTACATTGATTTTGATTTCTTAGATTCCCCAGGAAATTCTGATGGAAATCCATACCATATTTAAAAAAAGTTGAAAAATTGACATATTTTGCCAAAAATGAACTTCAGTCAAAATTCAAATCATTCACTAATACTGTTACACTGTAATCAGCACCTCAATACTAAACTTTAAAGATATCTGACTGAATTTCATAGAAAGTCCTGACTCCCTTATGGAGCGGAAACAAAACAACAAATCTTGATCCATCTGGTGGAATTTCCAAGGATTACTGCAATTTGAGCTTGTTCCACAGTCATGACATCAACATTAAACTGTAATGGGGCAGCTAAACCACATGTACGACAAACTAAATGAGTATCCTGCTTTGGTCAATCAAGGACAGACTTTGTTTCAGCAAGACAATGTGAGGCCACATACTGCCAGGTTTACTAAGTTCAAACAGATGGACGGTGTGGAAATTCTTCCACATCCACTATTCAGTCCCAATGCTGCTTCGAGTGACTATTGCCTATTCTGCTCAATGGCACACTTCCTCTTCGACCAGTGATTCAACACATTTGATGAAATGAAGGAAGATTGTTTAGTTTTTTGGTGCAAAGCTAGCAGACTGGTATCTGGGAGAGATTTAGACACTGGCTGATTAAAAATGTATGAATCTCTTTCTCTCAAGAATAACTTGAATAAATAGTGCATACAAATGTAGCAGAAACTTCATTAATTGAGAAGTTGAAATAAATAAGCAGTTCCTGGTTTCTAAAAATTACAAGAATGATCGGTTTGTCTTCAACTGAATGTTTGTTTCCTCTGGAGATGGAACCCCCCCACCAAACATTGCCATTTCTAGTTACATAATACGGACAAGAGCAAAAATTTTTTTTAACTCTGTTGTACAAAAAACTATATTGTGGCTTTCTAACATTTATTCACTACTTAAAATCATAACCACAGTCAAAAGACCCACTTTATGATTAAAATACTTGCTTATTTTTTCATCTGTATTGAAAGCCAATTGAAAAATTGCTGCAACTTAACATTTCTATCCCTCCTCCCATTTGGCCTTATGCCACACTAATCTCTGAATATGGTAGCCCATAGTCAAAAGAATGTAGGAATACCAAATCAGTTTGTGGTTTTACTGAGTAAAGCAAAGTAAATAAATAAAAAGGATGAAATAGATTTGTTCAGCTAATATTTTAATGAAACTAAAATGAAAAGAGGTGATCACAGCATTTAGTTTGTTTCACCTTCCAAACACATCTATTTTATAGCCACCTTTTCTGGCTAATGCAAGTCTCTCTTGTAGAAATTCTTCTGCATCAAAGTCTATGCCCTGCTGGATCTTGGCATCAAGCTTTGCCTGAAATATTTTCTCCTTCTTTTTCCTACGGGCATGCATCTCTTTGCGGCGAACAAATCGCATCCTTTTACGAAACTTTTTCAATCGATGCTTGTTCATTTTCCTGCGTCGAATTTTGAGGATGTTTTTCGCTTGGATTGCTTTGGGGTTTTCTATAATCCATTCATTCAGGGATGAGTTCGGGTCCTCCTTGTTGATGGTTGCTGAAGGGAATGGCAAATTTATATCAAAGTCTTTGGCTGGCGTCACAGGACAGTCATAAAAGGAAACAGGCAAAATGCCAGGGTTGTGTATAGCACCTGGTAAGGGAGAAACCAATTGGAGATGAGGTCCACTAACTGTAAGCTTATCCCCTGATATGTAAGGTGGCAGAGGTGTAAGCAGAGACTGGTGTCTTTGTATACTGCAGTATGTATGTTGGCTGCGAGACACGTCATACAGCTTCATATGACCAGGCAAACATTTTCGATATTCACATTTGCTGATACCTAATAACAAAGAGAGCAAAAAATTTGACTTATGGTAAATAAAGCAAAAACTAAACTAGCATTGTATACATCGGAATGAATACCTTTGTGTACCAAATACAAGTACTGACATGATTAAACTATTTCCTTCAATTTTAGATCAACACTCCAACCCAACCCCGAGGATGCTTATTTGGTATAGCATGTTTATTTTACAAGTTGAAAAATTCCCACTGGTATGATTACTCAGGGGGCACTTGTATTTGGTACAAAGGAGTATGGCTGAATTCAAAACAAATTACTAAAACTTATTCAACACGCTGACTGCCAACACAAAATCAGTATAGGGTCATGTGGAGGCCATTATTTTTTTTCTTATTAAATAGTTTGTAAAAGAATATGTTGGTTAGCAATGAAAGTTTTTTAGTGCTAATATTTTTTGAGAAAATGGCTGCCAAAGTACAGAGTGTGGCAGAAATTTCTCCCACATAAGGGTAAGACATTAAGAGGCAATGCTTGCCTTAACATTATGTGGGAGGTATATATGGGATGTATTTCTGCCATACCCTATATTTCTCTTAACCTCAGTAGTGTCAGCTACTTTCTACTGTGCATAGTATTCTTTTTTGGATCTACTAAATAATATATATTATTTTTTAACAATTAGATGTTTCATATCAAATAAAGAAGTATTATTATTATTATTTATTACATAAATGTGATTTACATTTATTTTATAATTCCAGCCATGTCACCATAATTAAAATTAAATACCTACTATACATTTATAAAGCATTTGAGTTAAGAAAAGCAGAGTGCCAAATGCATTTTTCAAAAATTCTACAGGAAGTGAAATACAAAATATAATTGGAACTCACCTGAAACCACTAAACTCCTAAATGCTTGACATAATCTTGATAAACCAGGACTCATGTTTGTGCTAAGGTTTTCAGGTGCCGACACTGAAAAACCAAGGTGATTGTTTTTAGGCTGGTTTCAATAGTGACATTGAACAGCAAGACAAAATTTGCTCATACTTCTCAATTGGTCACCTATGAGTGGATTCCAAATAAAGAGATTTAAAAAAAATAAAAATAAAAATAAAAAAAGAGTTAAAATTCAATTATTGCAACTCATTTCCTCCAAAACCAGGATTTGACAAAGTGTTGACAGGAAGATAATTTTGAAAAATAGGAAATTATGGATGTCTCCGGCAGTTTCTTTGTTTTAGACGATTTTGATTCATAGTGTTAAAAAAAAAAAAAAAACTCATCTAAGCAAATACACAATTCTATCAGCTTGATAAATTGCAGAATACATCATCTATATCAGATTTATTCAGAATTTAAATGTAAAGATAATTAGAGACTACATATAACAGCAATAACAAAAGATTATATCTTGCCCCCAAAATCAGGTGACCAGGGCAATTTTCAATGTATTTAAGGCAAGCAATCTTTGTAATTATAATGCAGGATATCATAAGAGCGTTACTAATAAAATGAATTTTATATATAAAATTTATCAAAAGCCTAATTTTGAAAACAAATGGAAAATAACTTTTGGATGAAGACGATTAACAATTACTTGAAAATTTAGATCTAGGCAGCCAGTTTTCTACTTCAATAATAAAAACTCTTATTTCTGTTCCTATGAGCAAAATTATATTAAAACTGCATTTTTAAACAAATATTTACTGTAGAAAGCTATTGCAAACATCCAGTTTTGCTTCAAACATTAACTGAATGGAAGGGAAAGATACATGAGGTCTCAAATTGGAATTAGTTGTAAATGATACACCTTGTCATTTTTAAAATGTGTCAAAGTATTTCCTAAGGTATATGTCAACATTGAACAAATTCTTTTACAATATACAGAGGGTTCAAATAAAAGAGAAAAATAAACTGGTCAATTTGAAAATAATTACTATACATCAGGCGATTTGCTTTTATTTTTTGTTTATAATGTTTTTTTTCTAAATGCGCTGTCAATTGATCTCTTTCGACTCTTGTGAAAAATGGCATAAAATGTCAACATTTTCAATGACATAGGTAAAGTAGTACTAAGGTTAAATTTTAGAGTCCTAAAAACGGTCACACTTTGATAAGGAGATTTTTTTTTTCTATCTTTTGCTTTTACTAAAAGTACTAAAGTTTGTTTCTGATAACCATAGACAAATTTCTAGCAAAAACTATTTTGATCACTTCGGCATTAGAGATCTATCCATACACCTAATATCTAAGTCATGGGTGGGGCAACCTTTTAGAGAAAGCAGGCCAGAAAGCTAAACAGTGTCTTGGAGGAGGGCCATGATATCAAATAATTGTTTCGACCTCAGACTGTTCCATCCAGAAGGTTGCCTTGGTCTGGAGGTTTAAAGAAAAAAAAAAAAAACAATGAAGTTAATGTTATATTATTTAAACAGGGTTGCTTATTTTACTGCAGAAATAACAAGATAACAACACAATCAATAAAAAATGCAAATTCCTTACTACAAATTAATACAGTTAGAAATGACAAATTATTTAATGAGACACTTGTTTCTGCTATTGTATAACTTCTCCACATCAGGTGAAATATTTATTGATGATACAAACAAAACATCATTCAGGTGGTTATCACCCAACCTTGTCCTTAAAAACTACTTTTAGTATATTTAATTTTTGAAAAAATTTGTTCACAAGCATATGTACTTCCAAATAATGATACCGTTATTTTCGCATTATCCAATCGGTTTTTGTTTTCCACTTGGTAAAAGATATTTCTGGTAGAAGTCAGCAGTAGATTTGGAATTAAATTTTGTTTTAAAAAATTTGTCACATTGTAAGTCTATTAACTCCAAGTGACATTTTTCTGCCACTTGCCCCACAAATGAATGTGATAATTAGTGTCCAGGTGTTAAGCTGGTGGGCCAGATAAAAATCCTTTGCAGGCTGAGAGTTGCCAACCCTTGATCTAAGTAATGAAACCCCAAGTCCAGTATCTACCAGTATATATATTTACAAAATAGTAATAAAAGTTTTTGGACACTTTGGAAAATGAGTCGGGCCAAGAACTTTGATATATAAATTATAGGGAGTCTACTAAATCATAACTTGCCATGGTTATTACTTGTAAGAATCTAATTTGGTAATTTTGTTGATAAATTAAGAAATATCAGTTGCAAAGCTAACAGCAATTTTTTAGCCTATTGTAATTATCAAACTATTATAGTTACCTATTTTACCTCACATACTATGTGCTAGCATGAAGTCACAGGTCATCATAACCGATGGTTTGAGAATACTGGCCTTGTTCAGATACGAGCAGCCAGCCACCACCATTTGTGTCCAACAGCGCTGTGACATTACCTTTATCTGAAAGGTTATCTCTTTGTAGAAATCTTAAGGTTAATCTCAGTTAAAATGGATCTAATTTTTTAAAGTACTTGATATTTGTTACTTGTACCTTATTAAAAAGGAACGGTTTTAAAATGACAATATTTAGAACTTAAACTATTAAAAGTGGGTCATACCATAATGATTAAACTATTTCTGTCCTTTGCTTTCACAACTCGTAATATTCACAAAATATAAAAACATTAGTAACTTATATACAATTTACACAGAGTACAAACACTTTTGAAAACTCTTCTTTTCATAACCAATCACATTAAACAAAATATGATTACTCATAGCCCCCCCCCACTACTTTTAAAGGATTTAGTGTTCAAGTCCTGCAGTGCCATTAAAAAACATTTAATGCTTTCTAAATCAAAGTTAATCAAATTTCATCAATATCTAAACTACCTAATCCATAATCTTCAAATATTTTACTTTGTTTTATATATATATATATATATATATATATATATAGTATAAAATTGTCAATAAAAGCTGTTTAAACAATAATTGTAAAAAATAACTAAAATCATTTCTCTTTTTCAAATCACATTTAATATTAAAAGTAAAAAAATAACCAATTATTTTTTAAATGACAGAACGATGAAATTCAACAGTTGTATAGAATATGCTAGATTCCATATATGCAATGCTTTTAAATAAACACATTTATATAACAACTGACAATGCCAAGTGACTGAACTCAATACATTTATTAAAACAAAAGCAGCAATATGAATTCCAATTGAAAGCTCAACATCAACAAAGCTGATGAATCTTTGTCCAATCCTAAAACAGAAAATTTAATGAAATGACATTTTTTTTTTTTTTAAATTGCAATCATCATCGGCATGTGGATGAAAATACAATCCTTTCAAATTTTATTGGCAGTGGTTTATAAAAAAAATCTTTTTCTGATAAATAATTGTATAAGTGCATTCCTTTTTAGGAAGCAGAGGTTCACTAACCAGTTGTTTTCATGTTAGGAGACAAAAAAAAAACTGCCTACTGCAACAGCCAAGGGAAAATGTCTTCTGGCAATAGGAACTGGGGCTTAGCTTCACATTTTGTTACAAAGGAGGCTTGGCTGGAAAACAGAACATCTGTAAATATTCAGTAATTGAAATAGGTTTTACACAAAAGGAGGTGACAGCATCTGATTGGTCAATATTGACAGAATAATAAACTCTCAATTGTCTATAAATCACATCGTTAATCTTTCTGCTTGCTGGCTGACAAATGAATTGTCTTTTATATAAATAAACAATCTTTGACATTTTCTTTGCTAAGGACTTTTTTTGCATTGAAGATCTTCAAGATTTTGTTAACTATATTCTCCAAATCTGTCATCAACAGTTTTTTTGTTTTGGGCCATGGCTAACTCCTCCTACCCTTCAATTTTTTTTTTTTTCTTCAAAATTTCACCCTTTTACTAATCAAGGTACAAGATTACATTTGAAATGGTGATGATAAATGGGGTATATAACATGAATGGAAGAGAAGGTGGTAGGAGAAGATCAGCAAGATAAATAACAACTGACCCTTCACTTGAAAAGGTCAAAATTGAAGTGTTTGGAGAAGCACCGAGATGCAAATATGTTCCACAAAGTGGTAGATCTTGGAAAAAGGAGTCTAAATGAGCCACAAAGGAAATAAGAGTGATTCCACTCTGTGGACATAGCAAGGCATGTCCTAGCTGTAAAGGTCTGAACTGGTGGAACTAAAGAATGGGGTTTATCTACCATGTAACTAACGTCAGAGTAGCAACAGGCTTGTAATGTTGCATTGGTAGGAAAGTGGTTGCAGGAGGGAAAATAAAATCTTGTGTCACAAAACTGCATAAACAATTTTGAACTCTATCAAGGCTGGAAAGTGAAGATCATGTAGCTTCAACCCAGATATGGCAGCAATACTCCATTTTGGCTTAATTCAACTCTTGTAAAGATAAAGCATGGCAGAAGGATCGACTACTTTAGGGTGGGGGTCTTGGAACAGAATGAGCTAACCATTTTCCCAGTTTGTTTAGAAATGGATTGTATATGAGTGACTTGAAATCTGGAGAGAATTTGATACCCAATAGACATTCAAAGCTTGGAGCCTCATTGACAGTGGAAACAGTCATGACTGAAAAATATTCAGGGTCAGAACTGTGATTAAGAGACCTTCTCAAGTTCCAGGGTTCCCTATCAAAAAGGAATATAAACAAATTCATTTATTATTGAACAACAAAATAAACTTGAATATTCAAACATTCTGAACAAGACATTTTTAAAAAGTCTATGAAATTAAACATCAGTTAGTCTTAATATTTTCCTTCATGTTGGTGCTTTCCTACAAGTTTCATGATATCAGGCTTTAAATGAAACAATGACAGAAGTCACTTTTATCACGATGTCAGTTTCATTTCTTGCTGAATCCTCACAATATGTTGTAGAAATGGCTACTTAAATTTTACCACAATGACAGGTTTTCATCTAAGGCTTCTGTCAAATGCTTCCTCCTATCAAAGAGGCTATAAAATACCTGTTGAGAATGGTTACAGTTATACAAATCACCTCAATATTTCTTACTTTGAGTGGTTTTAACAATATTAGTATTTCATACACATAGAATTTAGACATCCATCTCCAAGATGTGGTTAGCAAGCATACCTAACAGAGCATTACTACTGTAGTGAGGACAACTCTCACTGGATGCCCTACATGTGTGCCAAATTATGCTTACCAATGGAGACCTAATGTATCTGAAAATTAAAAAATCTTTTAATAAATTGCTTTACTTATTAAGAAAAGTTATGAAAGCAAAATTACAGGTTACAACTGAAAATATGTTCAAGAAAAATAGTATTAAAGAAACACATTTTATTTGTTTGAAAAAAAAAAAAAAATCAGACACAGTGTTTAAAGAGTTAACCATAATAGTTTGCCATATTTATTTATTTTTTTTAAATACTAGAATTCTTTTGCAACACATTTTTGCATATTGAATTCCTAATAGTATTTATTATTGTTGAAGTTATTGCTAACATTTTTTGCCGAGATTTACAAACTCTACATTTCATTCAATTTCACAAACCAAATTTAAATTGATTTGTTTGGAAAAATACATTGACAAAAACCTTACTTTCTTTAATTTTTATTTTTTTGTCTTTTTAATAGCAAAGAATAAGAATAAATTCTTAGGATATCTTACTCTTGAGCATGCAGCATAAAATTGGTCATGCATAAATATTTCTTTCTGGAGCCAAATTCTAACTTTTTGAAGTGGTTGGCCTTGTGATTTGTTTATAGTTCTCATGAACACAGTTTGAAATCCAGTTTCCAGTTTGGAGGGCAAACTGGAAACTGGATTCTTGTATATATAAAAACTTGAAAAGATATGCAAAAAACAATATTGCATTTTTATTAAATAAGTATTTAATCATTAAATTGTTTTTAAAATAGTGGGACTATTTTTTGTTAAATAGTAAAACTTTTAATTTTTCAAAAAAAAATTAATGAAAAATTATTGTTCTAAGCTACACACCTTCATAAAACCAACTGTATTTTGTACTCACCTTACCTGTTTGCATTTCTATCCCAAATTTGGTTTCAATTGGTCAATATATGGCTATTTTAGAGGGTGGAACAGATGGACTAAAGGAAGTCACAGAATTTTATATATATATATAGAAAATAAGGATTGGTTATCATTACTCTTTGTGCCTAACTAAACACAATTTCTTCAAAATAAAAATATTACAGTTTCTGCTTGTGGCAAAGATGCAAATTAAAAATCAAAGCAATACATGGACCAATAAATTACGATACAATAAATTATTTTGCAGAAACAAAGTCTCAAAATTTTACCATTTTTGGCATCAAATCACATTGAATTATCTCGGTTCATTATTGGTTCTTGAAAATCACCTTTATTGATGCTGATCTTCCTTATTGTAAACACGATAGTTTGCAGATGTTCAATTTAAATGCCATAAAGCAAATCTTAATGCACAGGAAGTAAATTTTGAGGTTGGGAGTTGCCAAACTTTAATAGCGTCAAATATTACGGATTCCATTCAGGTATCAGAAAAAGGCATTTCTCCAAATCACACTAATATTTACTGACTTGAATCTGAAGCTTTAATCAAATCATGTGATAAATTAATTCACTCAAAACAAAATTGGACATAATTAAACTCGAGACGTGTAACAATAGAATATATTAAATTTAACTTTTAGTATTTTAACATCTCATACTCCTTCAATGTTTAAACTCTATCAAAATAACTATTTCATGAGAAATATCTTTTATTGATTCTGACTGCACCTGTCCAAGGATAAATTCTAGTCGCAGGTGAGATCCTATAATGTCAAGTCAAACATTAATATTTGCAAAGTCAGCTTTAATTTTCCTTGGGCATGAAATTTCTGGACCCCTTTTCATATTGGATGGCTCAAAGTATTGTTCTAAGGCTTTTCTCACTGGTATTTCTTTAAGCAGTCTGATTACAAGTTTGAGGAAAGCAAATCGTCTTTTGATGGTTTTGATCAAAGGTTTGAATTTTGTCGCATATGTCTTTGCTAGAGATTGTGCAAAGCCAGTGGATATTAAGGGCAATTATAAGTAATTTTCTATTGAAAGCTTCAATATTTTTCTTACCTGATCTTGTAAGTCCCCAGAATTGTTTATATATATATATATATATATATATATAGATAGATAGATAGATACACCTAGTGAGCCAGACAAACCTACCTAGGTTTCACCTAAATGGATCGTCAGGGAAAGCTTGGCTAACGAGGCAAAGGGAAACACATATTTATAGGTAAAATCATACCACGCGAAAAAAAAAAAAAAAAAACCCACAACAACCTAAGTGGGGGGGGGGTTTAAATATTTATTCAACAACAAAAAAAAAAAAAAAAAAAAATCCTCAGTGGAAAGTCATTAACGGGAAAAATGTCTAATTTAGTAGCCATGATTTTTTATGTCTACATACATTGAGAATTTCAGTTTTAGAGTTCAATAGTTGGTTAGGGCGATCATATAAAGCTATGGCTAATTTCTCCTCAGCACATAATTTGCAAAATTTATGGCCTGCTTTATATTTTTGGCATTTTTTTAATATTTCTCATTTAAGGATGGGGTCTATATTATCTTGTTTGGTTTTCCATACGTAGGTAGATAGCGTGGTACTATGTTTAATTTTTGCATTCTTAAAACTACTCGTATGGTTATAATATCTTTTCTTAAATTTATCCTGAGTAGCACCTATGTATATTTTAGGTTAGTATCCTCACTATTTTTGTAAATCTTCACTTCATACACCACGCATTCTTGCTGGCATTTTCCTGTAATGGACAGATGTTTTTGTTTCTACAATTACAAGTAGGAGGATTGCTACGTGGATCATTCCTAGTTTTTTTCTTATTCAATCCGTTTATAATAGTCCCTACGTTCGGCATACAACAATAACTAAGTTTTACATTATTTTTGTTAAATATTTTATGTAACTCAGTTTTTTTTGGGAAATGTTGTTCCAGTAAATTAAAGAATATCTTACCAATTTTGGTTTTTACCGCTAAATTGAAAGGGGGATTAAACCACAAAATTTTTCTTTGCCTATTATGTCTATTCCGAGTAATATTGTGGTTGTCTATATATTCTAATTTATTTTTATGTCCACTCTTAATTAGGGCTTGCTCATAACTTATTTTGTTGGCTTCAAAAATGTCCCTATTAGAGGAATTAGTTGAAAGTCTATACCCAATATTTTTAGAGATGTGCCTTATAATATTGTCTGGGTGATTTGATTTTATGTGTAAATACTGGGGTTCTTGGTTTTCTTTTTTATACGGGGATACTGTGCCATTTTGTAAATTTAACGTGATATCTAGATAGTTTGTAATTTTCAAATTGGTTTCTATATAGAGATAAAATCCAAATTTTTTAAAAAACCAGTGCAGTTTTTTACGAATGTTGTCGCATTTTTGAGGGTT